CCCCCCCCAGTTCACCCAACACCCTTTGGCTCCCGCCATACCCCGTGTGATATCCCGCGTAAGATAGCCCATTTCTCATTAGCACAGTGCTTTCCTCAGTACAGAAGCTCTTCTTTGCGGCGGCGGGGCCATCTTGGCAACGTTCGTCATGGACTTTTGCTTCCCATGTCTTGGTCTCTTCTCAACACAACGCTTAATCAAGCCTCTCCCCTTCCGATATTGACAGTAGATGCGTCATGTCAAGGATGAGGAGATGGAGATGTAGGATGTGGGTTGCCCCAAGAATCGGGCTAGCATCCGAATATGCCGAACCAGTGCACATTCAAGGGTCGTACATGACCCGCATGCTGAATAGGAGTTTCGGATCAGGGAGAAGGTCAGGAGCACAGGGCCTCCTAACGAGTAACACAAAAGCCTAGTAGAGAGGGTACACTCTCGGCAGTAAATTGACAAATGTGGTTGCTGGCTCGCATCCCACACAGCCCGAGAGTAGTACTACGTGATCAGCTGAATATAATACCGTTCCGGTAATATGAGGAGTGCTCATGGACCGCTCTTAGAAGTCAGTTTCTTTTCCCCAGACATTAATTAATACAGTCATTCAAAGAGGAGCTCCTTTCTTGAGAAAGTTTCCCTGAAAAGGAAATTCTCCAATGTACTTGCGTCGTAAATGTATAACATCAGTGACCCCTCGATGAATTCGATACTTTGCATATATTGAACTTGCACGTATTGGAAATAGTGGCACATGGTATCGACTGCGGACTATATGAGAAATTACCAGCGCTTATGCCGCGTGATGAGAGGGCGTATGTATTGGTATTCAACCTACTTGGCAACAGTCACATCACATGTAAGCACGGCTTGGATAAAGCCCTCTGTGTATTACAAGCGCATTCCATCGCATTCCACAAAAGTCATTCAAATAGTAAGCAGGCATGAAGTCCCGCATGTACTGTATGCTCAGGTCTCATATGACTTGTCTTGCAAACTCTCCGCCTTTCCACCTCCATCGCTCTACCACTCTCCTCATTCTTCAAAACACTTCTTATTGCCATTCGGTCTCTGAGAGGTCCTATCCAACACCTCTATAGATAAAATCATCACGCCAATCAGGACCTTCCAAAAGAAAGAGAAAGGAAGCCAGTCGCAATGACCTCGCCTGCCCTCCCTTCTAACGGCCGCCTTGTCAGCATCGGCACTCACTCTATAGCCTTCTACACTTACGGCCCCGACCCGGGTAATTCCAAAGATCCGGTCGTATTATTTATATCTGGCGTGTGTAGCGATGCTCTTAACTGGCAAGCCGTGGTGCGACTTCTCCCTCCTTCGATGAGAAGCTACACCTATGACCGTTCTGGCTACCGCAACTCCGATTGCTCCCCTCTCGTCCCAACAGCCGAGAACGCGGCTGTGGAGCTCTCTCTGTTGGTCGAAAAGTCCCCCATTCCGAATCCGCTGATCTTTGTGGGTCACTCGTGGGCCGGTATCCTCATACACGAGTTCATGGCTCTCAAGGGAACTGGTCAGATAGCTGGTTTGGTCCTCGTTGACGCCAACCATGAGACAATGCCACAGTCCATTGATATCAACGATCCTATCCTCTGGGCTGTCGCCGCTGGCGTCAACTCCTATTCTGCACGGGGTATTGAGGCGGAGCACAAGTTGACAGAGGACGAATGGGATGCATTCAGGGCCGCAGAAAGGACGGAAAAGTTCTTGCTGGCTGCCGAGAAGGAGCAAAGAGAGTACAAAAATAGCTTTGAGACGCTACGAAAGAAAGGTCTCAGTGAGAGACAGCCACTGCTCGGAGACAGCCCGGTTTATATAATCGGGAGCACCCGAAGCCGCGATTGGAGTGGATTGTACAAGGCAGGCGTTGAGAAGGGAAATGGAACCGAGGCGGAGAGGAGCTATGTGAGAGAGTTCATCAGAACAGTCGATGGGAAGAGCGAGGTTCTCCAGAAGGAATTTCTCAAGCTCTCCACCACCAGCAAGCTTGTCTTTGCCACAAAGAGCGGACACTTTATCCAGCTAACACAACCGAGTCTCGTTGTTGACGGAGTACGGTGGGTTGTGGAGCATTTATCTCCAACCTCCTAGCTACAGAGGATCACCCGTTCATTAATAAAACTTCAAAATCAGACCTAGCGCCAGATTCCCGGCATAACAGTCCTCTGTATGAATATACAGGGTCTGCCTGTTAAGGAGCATCCGTGAATGCAGGCAGACGTACACGGAATGACGATGTGGCTCAAGGGCTACGCACACCTAGCTCATTGTTCAGACGAACAGTCCACCAGGACCGGGTCATCAACCGGTATGAATAAGGCAGCAATCCCTACTGATTCTGCCTCGAGATGACTAGATGCAGGGTCCAACCGTCAATAGTTCATTTTTGATTACCCGCCGAATGAAGCCATTCGCGACGCCAAACCAATCAGACGGAGCCCCCGCTCTCGAAACCCGGTGCTAGTCAGGGGTCCATGCGGAATAGTTCCTGAAATCGGCGCCCTTCCAAGCAAGAGCATATTATCGTCAGTTCCGCCTCAAGACTAGACGAGGCTCACGGGGCGGAATCCGCCTGTTGGGAACGACAGCTGTGGGCTCTACTCACGACTAGAGGGCATTCGTATGATGGGACCCGTCAGGCTTCGTAGAGGTATATATATGTACATCCAGCACCTCATCTCTAGACAACAGAACAAACGCGATAGTCACTTTCCTCTCATTCATTTCCTCACATAGTACAGCATACAAGACTCCTTCGATCTTCAAAGATGCCTTTCACGATTCTCCCTCCGGCCGAGAAGCTGCCCCTCTCCGCGCGCAGAGATGGTAAGCCCAAACCCTTCCGATTGACGTTGTGTGCTAATAGTTATGCTGACGCGTCAGGGTAGTGCGTGACTCTTTCGAGTCCAAGAAGGAGGGTCTAGAGAAGCAGTTATCCGAAGTCTGCGGAGAAGCCTGGACGATTGACATCAGCCCCAACGCCATCTATCCATATGCTCCAGAAGACAGCTACGTCCACAATGCGCTGGGTGCCGCTCTCGCAGGGTAAGCCTACTCGTCTCTCTTCAAGTCCAATAATGCTACACTCATCTCCGACAATGGCATCGATCTGACAAGACTGTTGCAGCTACGTTGACGGAGCCATATACGAGCTCAAGCGCTTCAGGGAACACAATGGCGACGCCGGCATGCAGGACCTAAACACCATATGCCACGCAAGGACCCTGACAATGGCGCCGGATGAGGCCGAGAAGTTCCTGTACAACGGTGTCGACGTCGACAGCGCCGGCAGGCTCCGCATGCTTTTCAATCCCGAGAAGCTCGGCGTCAACATCGGCGACTGCTTCAACGACGACAAGCTCTCCAATGCTCTGGACGCAACTCCTCTTCCTGAGGACTCGGGGTCCGTTCTCACCCACAAAGCCAAGATAAGCGTCGAGAATGGTTTCAACAGCAAGGTCGAGGACCTCCGGAGCAGCATTTCCGACATTGTCAAGAACCCCGACATCAAGATCACAGTCAACTTTGACGAGACGTACCAGAAGCTGAAGACTGCTAGGGACTCTGGGGTGTCCATGGCCGTGGACAACTTTGACGAGAACCTCGGAAACCTCACCGCCGAATACCTTGCCAGCCTGGCCGGTAGTCTGAAGTCGAAGGGGTTTGACAAGGACGAGATGCTTCAGGAGGGCTTCAACGAGGCCATTTCCAAGGGCGAGATAGCTTTCCGCGTCGTCGACTCCATCAAGGGCGGCTCTGGCGAATGTGCCATCGAGGACGGCGTCCTTTTCCTCCAGGTTGGTGCTATTCGAAAATGGACAACTGGCCCTGTACGCTCTGTCTGTGTATGATACTAACAAGACCATTGTAGTGCACACCTGAAAAATGGGGGAGCAACATTTCTGACATCGCAAATGACCTGATTGATCTTCTGTAATGAGAGTGGACGCGATGGATTTTAAATGTTGAAGCCTGCATATTGGAATAGCAAGTATTAGAGATTGTTGGAGATAATCTGCTAGTCTTGCATCATTCAATAAGTCGTAAGAAAGAAAAAAATCGTCTCCTCCCCTCACTCACCTCATCTCTACAAAAAGCCCATGTGCAAACTTCGCCATCTTTGTTGTTGATTGGGATCTGTGAAGCCGCATATGCCAATTCGGGTTTAGGTCAGGGTTAGGGGCTCCCTGGTCTATAACTTCCGACGCATCCATGAAAAACGTGCAGTTATACTACAAGTGCACATCACACCAAAGGCCAACCTCTCATTCCGTCTTCACCGTCACCACTGCACTTTCCAAACCATCAGCCTTCGCGGTAATCTTCACCTCACCCTTCTCACCCGCCTTGGACCTCACAATAACCAGTGCCGATCCGCTAAAAGCCTTGCGCTCAGTTGACTGGAATGGTACAAAGTCATGCTGATCCCCATTGTCCGTAGCCGCAATCTCAGCTGCGTCGCCCTCGATCGAGAAGTTAAGAGTATCAGCTGCCTCGGGCACCACATTCCCCTCGCCGTCCACCACCTCAACGGTGACGAAGCTCAGATCATACCCGTCAGCCTTGATCTCGTCCCTGTCAGCCGTCAGACGCAGGCTCTCCGCTTTCCCCGTCGTCTGGACGCTGTCCTCAGCCCACTTCTTCCCATTCTTGTATGCGATGACGTGCAGCTTGCCGGGGGTGTACTCGACCTCATCCCAGCGGAGCCTATACTCATACTGGCCCCTCTGCTTCTTCCCCAGCGACTTTCCATTGAGAAACAACTCGGCCGAGTCACCAGACGTAAAGACATGCACGGGTGTCACCTTTCCCTTTCGGTCTGGCCAGTTCCAGTGAGGCAGGATGTGCGCCATGGGGTGGTCCGGTCTCCATCGCGCCTGGTACAGGTAATATCTGTCCTTCCTGAAGCCGGCGAGGTCAACGATGCCAAAGTATGAGGAGCGCGACTCGTCGTACGGCGTAGGCTCACCCAGGTAGTCCCAGCCGGTCCAGACGAACTCGCCAGCGGCATAGGGGTTGCGGTCCAGTGACTCAAACACCCTTTCAGCCGAAACGCTGAAATCAGCCGTGTAAAGCTCGTACGCGCTCACCTGAGCCAGCGTCTCGTCCCCGCCGGACGAGTCGTTGACGGGGGCGCCCCAGTCGTCTACCACGGGGAACAGGTAGATGCCACGGGAGCTCACGGTCGCCGTGGACTCAGTGGACAGGATGGACTTTTCCGGGTACGACTCATGGAACTCCAGGTACATGGGCGGGGTGCGAGTGCCCTTCAGGCCCTGGTAGTTGGGCCCATATCGGATACCTCCACCCTGATAGTTGAGGCTGATGACGTCAACGGTGTCGATGAAGGGAGCGCCCACGTTATGTGGCTGGGCCCAGTTCATAGACGACGTGGTCGGGCGCGTCTTGTCCTCTTGCCGAACAATGTCGCGCAGTCGGTAACCGATGGCGGCGCCATCCTCACCATCATCTTGCTCCTGGATCTCGTTGCCGAAGCTCCACACGATGACGGACGCGTGGTTACGATCACGGCGAAGCATGGAGCGCAGGTCGGCCTCACTCCAATCGTCAAATATGACATGGAAGTCATAGTCGACCTTCTTCTCGGCCCAGACGTCAAACACCTCGTCCATGACAAGAAATCCCATGCGATCCGTCAGTTGGAGAAGCTCCGTGGCAGGGGGGTTGTGCGACATGCGGATTGCGTTCACACCGAAGCTGCGGAGGACCTCAAGTTGACGTTCCGCAGCCCTTACGTTGAAGGCAGCGCCCAGGGCACCGAGGTCGTGGTGCTGGTTGACACCCTGGATCTGGACTCGCTCGCTGTTAACGACAAGGCCATTGTCCTCGGTGAAGTCGACGGTGCGGATGCCAAACTCGGTTTCGTAGCTGTCCAGCTCCTCACCCTTTGCGCTGTATAGTTTAGTGACTGCGACGTAGAGGTTCGGCTTCTGTGCAGGAGGCGGGCCCCAGAGTTTTGGGCTAGCGACTTTGGCGGAGACTATGAGAGAATCCTTTTTGCCCGCGCCGACTTCGATCCACCGGCTGGGGAACTCGGCTACCTTGTCCCTAATGCGCGATCCATCGAGGTAGTAGACTGACGTGGAGACGTTGACCTTTGTCTTGACGTCGAGATTGTTCTGCACTTCAACAGAGAGGTCGAGGATGGCCGACTGGTTGGAAACCTTCTTCGTCGTGATGAACGTGCCCCACTGGCCCACGTGTGTCCTGGACACCTTGTTCAGCCAGATGTCGCGATAGATACCCCCACCGGGGTACCACCGTGATGATTCCCTAGGGTTATCGACCCGGATGGCCAGCTGGTTGTCCTTTCCCTCGTCAACGTAGTCGGTCAGGTCCAGCTGGAACGAGTTGTACCCGTAGGGCCACCCACCGACAATCTTCCCGTTGACCCACACCATGGCGTACGACATGGCGCCCCCGACTTCGAGGTAGATCTGCCTATCCTGCACATCCTGAGCCGTCAGTTCAAAAGTGCGACGGTACCAGCCCACCCCGTGGCTGGGAAGATGGCCCATTCCGCCGTCGACGCTCTGGTCGTAGGGACCTTTGATGGCCCAGTCATGTGGGAGAGTGACATCTTCCCAGTCACCGTCGTCGAAGTCGGTATTGATGTAGGGCAGCTTGGTGGCGGGTTCCTTGCTAGGCCGTTGGTGCCGGTCTGCGGCGTCCTTGATAAAGTCGTTTCCCGAGGGAAGGATCCACGGCTTGAGAATTTCCACATTTAGGCGGTTCTCGAGGTATGCACGGTTTTGATAGACAATGTTGTCGGTGTTGTTCTCGGTTCTGAAGAAGCGCCAACCTGAGTTGAGGCTTGTTCGTTGGCGAACAGCAGCGGATAGAGAGGGTGTGTCAATGGCAAGGGCGTCAACGGCCCTTGCCAGGAACAGGGCCAGGGACAACATCCCATGGGCCGTCAATCGTCTAATTGATATCATTTCTTGGATATCTGCCTTCTCGCCTCTTCAATTGCTTGCTTCCCAACCTGGACGGATTTACCCCAGAGTCCACGCGTATTTATACGCATGGTCATACTGTATCCGATATAGACAATGATCATCCTCTACGTCCAGCCCATTTCTCCGTAACCAATCAATTATATGATGGCAACAAGGTGCTAAGACTTTCCACAATCGTCTCCTTCCCTAGATACTTTCCTTAGATTGGCGCGCCTAACTGGGGTAACGCATTCCCTCCTTGTCTGCTTGTGGAGAATATAAACATATGGGCCTCTTGCTCCCATGATACATATCAATATGCAATACCCTTAGGGTGAAATCCAACTGAGAGATGATGTGTCCTGCATCTGCCGAACACCATCTCAGGCAATTCTCCGTATGACGAATGTCCCAACACTGATCTATTGCCCGGGGTCCGGGCATGTGCCGGATAACAGGGATCTGAACCCGTCAATTTCTCCCGGTTACTTGTTGACCTATTAGCTTTGTTTTTTTCTTACATCTGACAGTTGTGTTCATGTTCTTCCTCTCGGTTATTGTTGTAAATCGCCGTTTTTCGGCTGTTCTTCTCCTTTTCCTCGTACCAACAGCCAACCCCGAAACCCCGCAATGCATATCCGAGTTGCGGGGCCGGGGAGCATTTATCCACGAAAGACTGATCTAGTCTAACCTGGACACAGAACAACGCAAGTATACGGATGGCTCTCTGCCGTCACATGGCATTCACTAGTCAGGGATAAGATGATGGCGAATGTGACTAGCTATGCATGAGTTAAGCTTAGAGGTGGGTTCACACGGGGTATCAATACGCGAGAGTGCTGCTAAGTGGAGGGTGTAAGTCTGCATTTGGCATTGGGCAATCGCTATAGCATCATATATCTATAGGTATAAAGAGAATAGAGGTATCTCATGACATAGCTTGGAAAATCATAATAGAGAAAGGATAGAAAGGAAATAGCGGGAAATGGGAGGAAATGCTGGTTCATCGTCGGTAATCAGGCTTGAGCGACATGTCTACTGGCGGAGGTGCCTCGTCATCGAGGGGATAAGGAGGCGGCGAACTCTGCAGACGACGTCTCCCCTTTGGCTGATTGTGGCGGTCTGGTATGGGCGTCTTCGGGGGCAAAGGGGGCGGTTCTATGCGCTGCGGGGGAGGGGGGCTCTGGGCCTGTGTCGGTCGTAGCTTCGGATGCTCGTCTGGACTCATGATGGCGATTTTGTCGGAGCCAGCTGCGGTCCAGTACTGTGAGGGCGTCAGAGCCGTCACGACGAACTTATCCGCTTCAGAGACGGCAGAGACGGGCCTCTGGTCTTTGGGAGGGGGAGGAGGCCGGTGGGAGGAGACGGGCGGTGAGTGCGGGTTGGCCGAGTCGTGCTGGAGCTCGTGCGAAAGACGCGGGTTGCTAGAGCTGTTAGACGCAGCCATGTGGATGTCGTCACTTCCCGATTCGAACGAATGGTGGCTGTGAGGGCTGCGTGGGGGCAGCGGTAGTGAACCTGTCGGTACGTCACCCGGCAGCTCGACGGCGAGGGGCGAGTTTATCGAGAAGGACGGCGGGGAGGCGCGTCCGCCGCCGGAACCGGCGGGTAGCGACATGGCGCGCTCCCAGCGGACCTTTGCCTTTTGGATCTTAGCCAGCTTGGTGCTTATTCCCTGGACCATCTTCTGCTCCTCGGGCCTGCTCATGTAACGGCGCGTTCCGGTGCTAATCTCGCCTAGGCGGTGCCACTCGTTCATGCCAAACTCTCCGACGCCGACCTCGACGTTGAGGCGGTAGTAGTTGTCCACATTGACGTTGCGTTTAGCAAGATGCTCGCGGAGAACGTACTCGTGGATGGCCTCGCAGTTCTCAATCTTGGAGATGAGGCGGCGACGGGCGTCGGCAAATTCGCCCAGGAATCCCTCGTACCACTGCTCTTGGCTGTGTCCACTGCTCTTGGGGCGTCGGCCCGTGCCGACCGAGACGAAGCATCCAATCTCGCGACCGGGCCACTCGTTGACAACGGCCTCATCCAGTGCCTCAGGGGCGGGGTTGAATGTTCCGGCACCGTCGTCGTGAAAGATGGACTGGCCGATTTGGATGGGTTTGAAGGCCAGTCCTATGGCGCACGTGGCGCGTCCAGCTTGCCAAATCTTGCAGTCAAACTCAGGTGGGGGCTCTCGGCGCGAGTCGTAGGACCGAAGCATGGCAGACGGTGCTCCCCGAGGGGAGCCCTTGTACTGTGCGGTAACAACGCTTGTATAGATATCAGATCAGCCTTTGATTATGTTCATGTTTGGAGATGGAGGATTTTGGGATTTGGAAATGAGAAATCTTCCCCGCTCCACCTAGGAAATGAGGTATCAAGTACTTACGTCTTAGTCCTGTTCTCCCGTGAGTCGTACAGCCTGGCATCCGGGTTCCCGTATCTCGGGTTTCGCCACACGGTGGGCGCCATCTGTGCAGCGGGGCTCCGGGCACTGAAACTCACGGTACTGGCATTGCTGGTGTGTCGCTGTGGCGTGCTGGCGCTGGAACGGGACGCGGCGTTCAGGGGGTTGACCGTTTGGGGCCCAGCCGAGTCATTGCCCTCCTTGTCGTAGACCGTGTGTTCGCGGACGGCAGAGCGGATTGCATCCTCGAGCTTGCTGGCCTTGAATAATGTGGAGCGGTAGGGGATGCCGGCAATGGTCTTGTCCGTCTGGAAGACCATGCGCGTCATACGCACGTACAGCTCCTTGCAGGTCTCAAGGTCGAGGCGAAGGCGACCGAGCATGAGGGCGATGAGACCGCCGGTGCCGGTACCGACGATGAGGTCGAAGTGGTCGCATGGTTTAGGGATCTCGTGTCGGCGGGGGGCGCGTCCTTCTATCTCGACAAAGGTGCGGTGCATAAGTTCTTGGACGATGATGAGCATGGAGTAGCCACGTACGCCTCCTCCGTCTGTCGTGTGCGACTGGGTTAGCCATATCTCTTTCCATCGTTTGGGGAGGGGGGTTCGTAGGGAAGGGACGAAATAGTAAGATCTTACCGAGAGAGAGAACACGCAACGGCGGTCCCTTGGTTGTATCACGTCTCCTCACGCCGTTTGCATCGGCCATGATGTCGGCGGTCGCGGGAGGGAATGATGGATGGTAGGGCAGGGCGGGGATGACGTTGAGCCACAGATACAAGGTCCAGAGGAAAAGCTCGATGTGTTTGTTGGCCGTTATCCGATGATATACGGTCGGTCGCAGTGGAGGTCGGGAATTGTGCCTTGCAGGAGAGTAGTACTACTACCAGATTATGGCGATGTTGGTATGTGGAGGAGGGAAGAAATGCGATTTAGAAGGCTCCATCGAATGTCGTAAAGATGCAGGCGAGAGGAACGTGGTCATCAGCAGGACACACGCACGCGCCAAACAAGTCGCCAGGACAGAAAAAAAAAGAGGTTCGCTAGGGTCCCCACCACCCCGCCTCCAAAGGACTTGTGAGGCAGTCAATAATTGGGGGGGGGGGGGAAGTATCAGGTACAAGGTGAGAAGGATAAGGGAATACGGGTGCTATCACGGTTACTGGTAGCTTCAGAAATCCGCCCAGAGACAATAAGTGTTAGCAAATGATATAAATTATTCAGTGGAGTAGATTGACAGTTAAAGCTACCAAGAAGATATTATTAGCAGAGTTCAACCGCCAAGGAGGGCAAGGCTTAGCTGGTATTACAAGTACCTAGCACTTGGCTATTTCGTATTACGTCAAGTACTACGAAATATACGGGTATTTGGATCAGCAATGCAATGCAGCACACTTAGTCAGAATGCTTAATTGCTGGTTTCAACTTTTAAGCAGTCGGGGGTTATAAGAGAGGGACTTGTATAATATTGTTTTAATTTCTACGAGTAAGCGTTGACGGAATAGACAAATATGATTGTTGGACCAGCAAAGTTCTAGCAGTCTAGTAAACCAACATCTTTTTTCTCTGAGCAATACGCCGCAATCTTACCAAAGGCGCCGAGTCGTGAACGAGGAAACGAGGCTGTGCAGCCAGGAGACAGCCAAGAGATGGTTGTCATAATAAGTCATGGGTTAAGGCTTACTCATTATGGGCTCGATACTAATACTACTTACTTCCAATACCTTTTCGCCCCATGCCCTACAGGGTCATAAGCAAAGTGAACGGGCGATAAACATTCTTGCGAGTGAAATCAGATTCTCATTCTTACTACCCAGCTATTGCGCATTTCCCAGGTTCTATTAATACATGCACACAGGTTGACATCACTGTCACTACGTAACGATTCCGGAGTTACAGGGTCCGGGGGAAACGAATTCCATGCCAAACAAAACGCCGCCCGTTTACACCCAGACCTCTCTCATCGTCCCAGCTGTGGCGTCATCGACATACACCTCCACACAGAAGCGCCACACAACAAGCTGGCATGTGCGTACACAGCCGCCGTGCTCACTAGTATTAACCAGTCGAGGGTTATCAAAACTTATTCTTTTCCCCCTGTGCGTCGGGCATGTGCTTCCGCCACCTGCTTGTCCTCTCTTCGTACGCCACCCCGGTCCGACCAAACGGATGGAAAGAGACCGAAACACGAAGGGCCGATGATGTGACACCAACCCAGTCCGTCTGGCGGTCAGACACATAAGGCTAATAGAATTCTACTCTTGTTGTTAAAGAGCTACGAGTATCACCCACAAATTCCGATATTTCTGCGAGTGTGGTGATACTTGTATATGCCACCTGTAATTTTTTTGCACCTGTTTCCTCTTTTATCTCAAAAGGGGTTTTTTTTTTTTTTTAACCATTGTGCACCGTCAGGGTTGTGAACGAGCAAGGTTGGGGAGGATGGGACGGCGTTGAGAGACAGTTCTGGTCCATTCTAAGCCACTCAACCAGTAATATTACTAGCTAGTTAGGCTGTGTGCACGAACTTTACCGTGCCTTACTTGGGCGCTTTACATCGTCGACATTGGACGTTGTTGGCGAACACTATGGGTAGAATCGTAGTATTCGTGGTGGTAGTTATAATAGTAGTGGTTGAATAGTGACACTCTTTCCCCAAGATGGTGTCCAGCATGTGAGAGGGCAAGGGCTTGTGGTGAGTCTACCCTTCTTCTCCCCTTTCTGGCCTTCTGCTGCCCTCTCCAGCCCAACCAAGTCAAACGCAGTCTCAGCCTCGAGGCCCAATGTCGAGCACTTGCTTAAACCGTTTCCCCTCGTCCTTCCTTGATTGTTTGACGTGGCCGTCCAACGTCGAACGAATAAAGCATGTTCCATGGATGGCACACGCAGCACACACACCCTTCTTTTTTCTTTTTCCTTGCCCTTTTGACACAGCACTCAGACTCTTCTCTCTGCCTGCTATTTTCCTCCTCGAAGGAGGGGCGGAACACTCCTGCATCTTCCGCCTGCACCGTGTGCTTTCTTGCTTTTGCGCTTGTTCAGCGCGCCTTCTCTTATATTCACCTTCCACCGGCTGCAGCCACTACAGCGCATAACCTACAGACTGGAAGCTACCTGGTTGGAACTTAACTGGCTGGGACTTTACCGGCCGGACCTATTACAGCTTATAGGCTGTACTCCAGTACCACCAGGCCGCTCTCTACAGAACACACATACCGTAGCAGTTCTCTCTCTCCTCCATCCGTAGCTTCCATGGCTCCAATGGCAGCCAACCAATCAGAGGCCCACACTCCCCACATCCAACCGAATCGGGGTCCGATAGTGGGCGACAGCCTCGCTGGGCCCCGCTTGCCCATACAACCTGGCGTTACGGATTTCAGGTACCTCTATAGTGAAATACCGCCTTCGGTCTTGGACTCGTACGAGTAATACCTGTATGCCGATATACAGGAGAGTGAGGGGGCATCCGGGCAGAAGCGGTCGGCACTCGGCCACGTTTGGGAGCAACGATTGGAAGGTTACCCAGATTGCCAGCTATGGAAGGCATAGAGCTCGCTCCTGCCACACACGGCTTTCTTCCACAAGCTCTCACAGTTTTCCTTAGCAATGACTGATTCGTTAATAAATGTAGTAGTATAAAGGCAATGAATGGTACTACTAGGTAGATACCATCTTATGGCAAATACTCTTTAAAGGTCCATAACTGCTGTAAATGTTTAAATATTTAAATAGAGAAGAGATATTAACCAAGTAATGTCGCTGCTCTTATGGCGGGATGGAATAGTATTAATGTATTGCTGCTCACTGCTCACTCCCCAAGTCCCAAAAGTCTCCCAATCGCCCACCATATCGACAGCCTTACCCAAATGCCTGGGGCCCGCCGCCCAAATTATGCCCTCTCTTGCTGGCCCTTCATCTGCCTCGTAAATCCCTCTCTTTGCCCTCTTTTTTCTCCTTCCCTTTTCCTTTGCAAACAGCCAGGCAAGCCCTCTCTAGTCGATCCTTCATCGCCCCTCCTCCCTTCCCTTCCTTTATCTCACTCATTGAATCTTTTGCCCATTCTGTTCAGCCTCGTCCCCCCCCCCCCCCCCCCCCCTCCATTCTGAACCTATTGCCCCGCATCCTGAGAGCAGGGCCTCATCTTTGACGCTCTTTTTCTTTTTGTATCTTTGCTCGCTTGTCCATGGAACCGTCCACCAAGCGACGGAAGCTGGCCCCAAAGGTCGTTTCTCCCGCTGATCCGAAATCCCAGACCACTCAGGACACGGTAAGTTGAGCCCTCGTTTATCCCCACAGCCCAAATACCGTACACGCTACAAACCCCGGCTCCTCCTCTGCCCCGCGAGCTCCAGAGGTTGGGCTGTATATGTATGATATGTGCTGCTTGCTGCACATACTTGCTTGATGCAGGTAGACACTTTCTTGCTGCAAAAAAATACCACCCTACAACCCATTGGACCCTTTACTAATGCCATTGGCCTATTGTCCTCTTGTCTTTAACAGACGTCACGCTACGCTGTGCCCCAAACATCACATCCCGAACGCCATGACTTCGAGTCCTTTGCCCGACACCTTCAGGATGCTGCCATGCTCATCCAGCGCCAGGCCGAGGCCCCCCACTACCGCCATGTCGACGTGCTCATGTTGACTTGGGAGGATGGCAGCACTGCACCCCCAGATGCCGACCTCACCGCCCTCGAGAAGCTCCTACACACAGTCTACCGTTACCGCACTCAACGATGGCAGATACCTTCTTGTCCCAACCCCAGCGTCAAGCTCGGCGCAAAGATTGCCTCGTTTCTTGAAAATGCTGCTCCTGACCATCTTCTCATACTATATTATGCCGGCCGTAGCTTTGTTGGCATCGATGGCCAGCTGTATTGGGCAAGGTGAGTCCTATTCTGGGGCCCCGCCTCGTCCGAACCTCTTCTTACGAGGTTATTCCCCTCCTCATCTCTCTACCTGGGCCTTGTTCTGACTCCCTCTCCCTGCAGCAACGAGGGCGAGGAGTCGGCCAAGTTGAAGTGGGACGGCGTGCGCTGCCTATTTGAGGACGCTCAGCCAGACATGCTTATCCTTCTAGATACATGCGCAGTCCCGCACCCCGTCCCCTCTGGAAGCAATGGAGTCAAGCAGGCCATTGCGGCATGCGCGTCCGGCCCGGATGTCCAACCCGGTGCCTCTCCGCACTTCACCTCCAACCTAGTCGAGTCTCTGCAGAAGCTTGCACCTTCCAGTCCCTTTAGTGTTCAGCGCCTCTACGAGGAGATGCTTTTTCTGCATCAACAGCAGCTACGCCAACTACCCCCACCCTCACCACCTTCTTCGGGACCCAATGGAAATGACACCAAACCTCCCTCTCTCCCCCCCCCCGAACCGATCCTCATAACTGTCACACCTGGACAAGCACACACCCTGGCTCTCTCCCCGACACTGCCTAGGCCACTGGAGCTGCCATCGCCTTGCAATGGGGGGGACCCAGCTCATCATGTCAGCCCTGCTACTCCTGAAGAAAGATACTTCGAGCCAGGCGCACTAGCCGATATCAAGTTTGGCGAAACACGCATACTGGTCTGTACCACATTCGTGGGCGATGCGAGCGCGGACATGTCGTACTTCCATCACTGGCTGCAAAACACGCCTTCCTTGGGCTCCAAGATCTCTGTAGAAGGCATCTTCATAGGCCCGCCAACCATGCTTCTTATCTCGATGCCTCACTCTATCTGGAACGTCGTCCAGCATGACAAGGTCTGCTGCTTTCTCGGCTACATAAATTCTCACAACATGCTTCACCTCTACCAAGGCCTCACCGGTCCTACCGGCCCCAAGCCATCAGCTCAGCAGGCGGAAGAAGGGCGCGCTCTTCTTGAAGCAAGGGAGGCGGCGGCGGCGGCCGCCGCTGCTGCTGTTGCTGTTACCGCTACCGCTTCAGTTACACAAATTCAACAAAGCAGTCATGAACTAGACCAGCGCGACGTTACCCAACTGGCTCCCGGTTCACGAGAAGGTCCAGGTCCAGGCTCTGGTCCTCTGGTACATGATAGCCCCTCCATCCGGCCTCATTTCTTGCCTGCCAGTCCTGGTCCCCGGCCTGCTAAAGCTAAGGACGAGCATGAGGGGTCAGCCGAGATGCGCGAGGCCGCTGAGCAGCTCAAAGCACTGAGCCATGTAAGACATCAAAGTGACGAAGGCCAACCCCCCTCCACCATCGGACGCCCTCGAACGAGTCTGCCCAACGGAATGCTTAATCCGGACACGTCATCGCCGCGTGCAGGCCACGAAATGGCCATAGACGAACCCACGACGTCGTCCCTGTCAGCAACGTCTCCCAGTCGCGTTAAGGTCCCTCGACATGCGCTACCAAAGCATGAGACGCGCTGTAATCACTGTACCCACGCGCCCTTTAGGGACTCTTCTTCCCTGCGCAAGCACATCGCTGCCGCTCATACCCGTCCATTTCCCTGTGCATTTTCATTTGCCGGATGCGGAAGCACATTTGGCTCCAAGAATGAGTGGAAACGGCACATTACCTCACAACACCTGTGTCTGCAATACTACCGCTGCTCCGAGTGTCCACAGGCAACGATCGAAGGCAAGGGGAATGAATTCAACCGAAAGGATCTGTTCACGCAGCACCTCCGACGCATGCATGCCCCACTAGAGATCAAGCGGCCTGGTTCCAAGGATGCCAAGGTCCAGGAGGAGTGGGAGTACAAGGTCAGACTGATGCAGGAGTCCTGCCTGGTGACCCGACGCAAACCCCCGCAAAGGTGCGCCTGCCCCAAGCCCGAATGCCTCCACGTCTTTGACGGTCCCAGCGCCTGGGACGAGTGGACCGAGCACGTCGGCCGGCACATGGAGAAGGGTGAGGCAGCCAACCTCACCGTTGACCAGTACCTCGTCGACTGGGCCCAAGAAGAGACCATTATTGAGCCCAGACCCGACGGTGGCCATCGTCTGAATTACGGTAGCGGGAGTGGTAATAACAGTACCACTCAGCTTCATAACTTGAACGCTGCCACCATCGCCGCCGCCGCCGCCGCCGCCGCCGCCCCTGCAGCCACCGCTACTTCGCCCAAACCTGCCAGCACTGGCAATGATGTGACAGCTTCTCCCAATTCCTTTAAACCTACTACCCCTGCCAATTATCTGAGCGCTGTTGATGCTGCCAAAGCCGCTAGTGCCGCCGTCGCCAATGAGTCTAGCAGTGGCAGTCAAGATACAGCCAGCAATTCGGTTGTCGAGTCCAAGGAGTCAGAGGCGTCGAATCCACCGTCGTTTACTGAGCCGTCCCAGACAACGGCACAGGAAGCGGCGCCTGTGACGACTGAGATGGAAATTGACAAGTAAATTTTTTTTGGATACTTTCTCCCTCGTCGTTTTTCTTTCTTCTATCTTCTTTTCCTCATTTCCTTTGTTCCTTACTTACGATGCAAACAACGATTACGACATGATTGACGCCTATATGACCCCTCTATAACAGAAGAGAAGAAGTGGGGAGAAGAAAAGTGACGGTAAAATACTTGCCTCCCGGCAATACCTTTTTTGACTGCTTTCAGTTAATGGTCTTTTTTTTTCTTCTGTACCCTTTTTATATATTCCTTTTTTTAGGATACTGTTCTCACCTCTAGAACAATGAAGCGATAGCGAGTCCAGTTTGATTTCACACCATTTCGATTAACATTCTTTTCTGTGTGTCATTACAAGTAACGTGAATAATCCTCATTCTGGTTCCTCAGGATTACTCGAACACACAACATATCCATACAAGAACACAATACACAAGAGCAGCATGTTACACACAAACGTAGGAAAAGACCACAGGACGCATGACGCAATACGCAAGAATGCAAGACGCAAGAATGCAAGACGCAAGAATACATTGCACGGAACAGGGTACATATAAGCTACAGGATCCAATAAACACAAGGAAAGGGTAATATTCAGGATTCAATACACAAAACAAGGCCCAAGAGCACACGAGACACCATGCAGTATACAATTTACAGTCATAGTCGCAGTCAGCCACAAGCCAAGTCAAGGATAGGTCAGACAGTTCTAAAAATATCATCTTGTACAAGGAATATATTCGAATCATAAGAATGAAAAACAATGAAAAATGTAGACTATAAATGAAGACATTTAGGCGGGAATAGTGCTAGGGCCGTTGAGGGAGACATCTACGTCCTTGGTGTAGCTGTTCTTGTCATCCTCGTGACGGGGGTTCTTGAAACCAGAGCCGTCACTGCCGTGGCGGCTGTGTCCTCTCTTGCCCAAAACGGTGATCTTGGAGATGACAGCTGCCAGTTTATGACCAAAGCTACCGGTGACCTTCAGCTCGCCGTTCTTGTACGAGAACTTGAGGTTGGAGACGCCGTTGATCTTGAGGTCAACAGAGTCGCCATCATCGAGGTACAGCTCACCACTGGCCTCACCCTTATCGTCCAGGGCAACGAGGATCTCGAAATTTTCCTTGCGTAGATCAGTGGTTGTGTTCGCAGACGACTCGCGCAGGGGCAGGATAACACCCGACTTGATAAGAAGAGGGATGTGCGTAATATCCACGTCGCCAAAGGTGTGCATGGCACCATTGCCCTGGATAGTTTCGTGAGTGTACCAGTCGTAGAACTTGTCTTTGGGAAGGTAGACATCCACGCTAGTAGCGCCCTCCTCAGTGACGGGGGCAACCAGGACACCGGGGCCGTAAAAGTACTGCAGCTCTAGGTCGAGGGTGTTCTTGTCCTCGGGGTAGTTGAAGAACATGGGGGTCATAACGGGCGTACCATCTTCCGAAGCCTTGGCGATGGCAGTGTAGATGTAGTCGAGCAGCCTGTAGCGTATTCCAATGGCCTTGCGAGCGCTATCGGCCACCTTCTCCCAGAGGTAGAACTCCTGGTCGGGGGAGGTGTCGCCGTTGTGGTTGCGGTAGAAGGTGTTGAAGGCACCCAGGGCAGCCCAGCGGGAGCAGAGCTCCTCGGTCGTGTTGCCGCCAAATCCGCACACGTCAGAGCCCACCATGGGGAACTGGTAGATGGACGTGAAGGCCAGGGCAGTGCGGATCGAGGCACGGTAGTGCCACCAGGTAGACATGTTGTCACCAAGCCAGTGGCCGACCTTGCGACCAGATCCAGGGAAGGTGCTACGGGTGATAATGAAGGGGCGCTTCTCGGGACGGCGCGAGAGCATGGCATCATAAGAGGCAATTCCCATCATGTGGCCGTACAGCTGGTGAGTGTCGTACTGGACCAGACCGTTCTGCGATACGACGTCGGTCAGGACTGTCTTGTTGGAGAGACCACCCTTGTCGGCGTTCCAGTCCGGTGCGTTGGCGGCGGCGTTGTGGATCGAGTACTTGGGGTAGAGGTAGTCACGGCCGTCGAGACCCTGCTGGGTACCCTCCTTGGGCCTGCTACGCTCGGGGAGGAAGAGGCTGTCGTGCGAAACATCACGGCGGACGGGACCTCCGGGGCGGAAAAGATCGCGCTTAGCGTCTGAAGACTCGCAGCCGCCGTCGCCAGGGGGCTGGAACTCGCATGGCCACCCAGGGAGCGAGCGGGGGTTCTCGCGGACCGGTAGACGCGTCGGGGGGTAACCCTTGGCCTGCTCGTAGGGGTTGTCCTGAAAGTTTGTCAGTGCTCGCGCCTTGAGGGTGGAGGAGGAGGGAGTACGAGAGGGCAAAGGAATTCATAGAGATGACTTACACAGGGGAAGAGGCAGGCAAACGAAGAAGGCTCGTTCATGTCGATCCAGAGGCCGTCAATGTCAACACCAGTCTCGGGGTCGAAGAAGAGCGCAAACTCGTTGTTCCAGTAGTTGGTAGCATTCTCGGCAAACCAGTCAGGGAAGACGGTGACACCAGGCCAAACGACACCGAGGAAGACGGAGCCGTTCTGCCTCAGAAGGAGGACGTTGTCCTCAATAGCACGGTCCAGGGTGGGGTAGTTGTCCTGGTAGCCAGCGGCAGGGTCGACCATGAGAATGTAGTGCTGGTCATTCTTGTGGAGCGTGTCAACGAGCGCGCGGACCTTCTCCAGAGGGTAGCGGCCAGGGTCGGTGGTGAAGATGAGGCGGCTGTCCATGTAGTCAATGTCGGTCCACATGGTCTCGAGAGGGATGCCGGCCTGGCTGTAGTTGTAGACAACCTCGGCGACCTGGAAGGCATCGCGGTAGCCGTAGCGACACTGGTGGAATCCAAGGCCCCAGTAGGGTTGGAGAGCAGGCCTTCCAACGACCTGGGCGTACTGCTTAGAGACGTCGACAGGGCTGGGTCCAGCAAGGAAGTAAAAGTCAAAGACACCGCCAAGGGCGTTGTACTCGAGGAACTGGCCGCCCTCGTCTTTACTGATGATGATGTCCATCCCATTAGAGTTCAGGAGGAAGACCCCATGAGATCCAGAGTCGCGGTGCTCCAGGTAGATGGGGTGGCTTCCGTAGAGATTGGCACCTTCGGGGACGCCATAGCTGTCCTGGTTCCACAGGGTGCGGATGTAGTCGGTTGTGTTGAGACGGAAAGGGTCCGTGTGAGAACCTAGACCGTACAGGGCAGGGTCGTTGGGAAGGCTGGTGCGGAGGCGGATATACTGAGACTCGAATATGAGGGAAGAAGCCGAGGAGTCAAAGATGACGTCGTTGTTGTCACGGCGGCTGACCTTGAAGGAGAAGGGCTCCTCTGTATAGGAGAACTTGAAGGCACTCTTCTCGGGGTTTGCGTACTGAGACTCGGGACGAGCGAAGACAGACTCGGGGACCTGATAGACAGAGTTTGCCTTGTCTTGGATCTTGACGTGAATGCGCTCGTCTGAGGTCGAGAGTTAGAACCAATCGATCATGCGGCGGTTGTTGGGGGCATGTCTCTTTTTCAACAGGGGAACCTACCAGTCTCGTAGGTGACTTCGAGGTTGAGCTCCTCTATGTCATCGCCGTAGGCATTGCACGCCTTCCCAGCGAGCTTGAGGTCTGCCTTGACACCGGAGTGGCTCTCTTGAACACGAGTGACCCTGTATCCAGGACAGTCGGCAAGGAGATCGTAGTCGGGGTAAGAGACAGTGGACGATTCCTCCCTGCGGCTCACGGCGGAAGCTGAGGCCAGAGCCGTAAGCAGACCAAGATTCTTCCAGAAACCCATCGTTGCGCCTTGGATCAATCAATTGAAGCCGGTACTCATGGGGATGATTCAGCAGGATGAAGAGCTTTGGATCCGCTGGGGCAATGGCGTTTTATAGTTGAAACGGACGGCGAGGAGGATGACCGAGAGGCAATGGGGGACCCACGCGAGATGGGTGACGCCGTGGCGGTCATGGCCATAGATGGATGATACTGGTACCGAGCCAAGCTCATGTTAGCTCCACTAGGATCTCCTGCGTACATGTTTAAGCGCGAAATACGGATAGGTCCATTGGGGTTTTCAGGTTCGGAGAGGGGTGCTGGTTGGTAATAGGTAGTACATACTCGACTTTGAAGACTTGTTGATGACACCTTGACAATCTTCTTGTTCAGTTATTACAAGTGTGCTGCTTCTCAACTGAACATCTAAAGTTCTCTGACTTTTTATCTTTGCTTTATTCGACATGAGACATGTACTTTAACTGCAAACTCTGTCGCCAATTGATCGGTTCGATCCGTCGACAGAGCCGTCGGGGTGGCGAGAGCGAGAGAGACATCGTACACAGGGCTTCTCTCTTTCGTCGACATGGCCCAGGACGGTAAGCGAAGCGCAAACGGCGTCACCCCACTGCCAAGGTGCGGGACAGAACCCAAGTAGGATTGGATTGTGTGGGGTGGTAGCTCGTACACGAGGTGGAGTGCGGAGAACGCATGTGGTTCACTGTGGTGTACTCCGTAGTATTGACAGCATTGCACACTGCAGAAGCGGCGCAGCAATACAACACAGAAAGCACAATAGACAAGGACAAGTTACTATCATGCTGTCGCATCAGCACAGAGATGCATTCATCCGTACCGCATCCAATGTCTCCGTGAATGTGGTATTCCTATCCGCCATCTTGACCCAGCAGCGTAATACCTGGTACACGAAGTACTTGCCCGATAGGGCACTGTGATCGAGAAAGAAAGAGCGCGGATGGGGGGGCCAAGAAACATCTTGGCTTGGCAGCTCGTCGGACCGGCAAGTTTTTTCTAGAGACACTTGATTTTCCATCAAGTCAGCATGGATGCCGTGCTCGGTCCGGTAAGTCGGTAAGCACCCATTCTTTTAGCCTGGTCTGTCCATATTATAGACGGGAAGGCTCCAGCGTTCGGACCGAATGGGCCTTGGCCCCAGCAGCAATGTTTCCCGAGTTCGACGTATGATGTTACGTCTGCTCATCTGCGGCTCGGAGGCTAAGTCTCCAGCGGAGAGTAAGGCTTGAGACTTTGTCTCGTGGCTGTGATGCGGGGGAAGCAGGTGTGGATGTTGCTAAGCTCCCCACGGACAGATGAAATGCGGAGACGATGGAGGAGTAAGAAGAGGTGTTATGGACATGGTATGATACTCATAATGTGGAGAGGCCTGGAGAAAGCCAGAGGCCCGGAACGCATGCGTAGGATAGATATAAACGTACTACTTCCTGTACTCGTAATTGCATGTAGTAGTCTTAGATGACGATGGGACATCACCGGTTTTCCCAAGGTAACGATTTTTGTTTCAAGTACATCGAAGTGGCAAGTGCCGCTCACGTTCGTTCCTTCCTCTCTCCATGACTACTAATACATGTACTCGCACGAGAACGTCGATCACTTCTTCCTCAATCCCAATAATGAATGAAACCAAACATGCGTTTTTTTTTTTCAAAGAAATATCGTGAAACAGACATCATATCTTCCATAAGATGATAAAGAGCGGAGGTACACACATCGGCATCGCCACTATTCTCAGGCTTCCAAAGGCAATCACGGGGTATGCGTTCCCTACGCGAAGCAACAGCGACGAGACGAGTCCCAGATGCACAATATTATTACGCCGTAACCTCCGCCCCATCCTCCTCCGCGTTCCGCTCACCGGTCTGATGCGCGCGTCTGCTGCTAGCTTCCACCTCGTTCGTCGGTCCGACGCCCCACGCGCGCCAACTGAGCCATCAACATCGTAGGGTACTTTCCACAAGGAGCAAGGGCAGGGTCTAGATGGCAATAAACTCGCATATCCCATTCATCCGGTCGATAGTCTGATAAGAGGCTCCTCTTTTCTTTTTCAAACTTGTCGGCAAAACAACTCATTGGATTCCTTCGGATGGCTAGGGTTTCTTCTCGATGTGGATATGATGAAGAATTACGAGAGGGAAAACTACATAATACATTGGCAGAGAAGAGCTCGTAAAAGTAATGAATACCTTATAAGTATGGAGAGGGGGTACTGTGTGGATCTAGCCTCTTTTGAATGATGTACGAGTAACGACCAACTGTATTTCAAAATCACGGCCATGCCTCAAGTTGTTTCTAGATAATAATACCCGTACAGAACATGCATGTCCAAATGATTGTGGAGTAGAGACGTTGGGAGAGCTCGAAAGGTAATAATGTCTGTCCATAGACAATTGAAGCCGTGCTATCACTGAACATATCAGCCCGTGATTGGCCACAATGGAAAGAGCGGTCCACATACTTGGGCGGCTCTTTCTCTGCCACTGGAAGTCGTTGAAACACGTCTCTGTCCCCTGCGCAGCCTACGATAGGACCCTCGACAGTGACAGACGTCGTCCCACCGCGAAATCTCCGGATTATCATGATTGATATTTTAGCAACACAACCCTGAATCACGACGACATCAAAGCCGGCGCCTCGATAAGCATCAACGTCGACACCGGAAGCAGCGGAAGAGGCAGCACAAGGTCAGCACGCACGTCTCTACCATGAACGGCATGAATGGTGCCAACATGGGCGGCGGAGGCCCCATGCCCCTTCCCACGCCTGCCGGTCACCAGGCCGAGCTCAACTACATCTACAGCATGGTCGAGGAGCTCAGTCGCCAGCTTGCCGACAACCGCAAGGCCACCGAGGACATCGTTAGCGGGCTGGGAAGGGTGCGGGCGCGGGCGCGGGCCAACGACTTGACGAATGACCAGGTGCTCGACGCAGCAGCCGAAGAACTCATGGGTATGCACCGACTGCTCCGCCCTGCCCCTCTCTCTCCACCTATGCATACGTCCAGAGCGGAAGGGCGTCGACGTGCTGACAGACCATGTTACAAAATCCAGGTCAAGAGCAGAACCTAGAAGCCCTCATCTCCATCCTATCCGAGTCGCTCGAAAAGGCCAAGCACAGCCGCGACGCCAATGCAAACCTCCTGTCCCAATACGCCAACGTGCTGGCCCTCCTGATGAAGCAGTTCCACGAGTACAAGATGAAGCACGTGTCGGACGTTTCGGCGTGGCACCAGTCGTACCGCGCACAGCTGGATGAGGCACGCCGCGAGAACTGCAAGCTGCGCGAGCAGATGTGGGAGATGCAGGCTCACGCCGCCCACGCCAATGACAGCCTGCGCACCTTCCGCAGCCGGTACGACGAGAACGAGGCCCGCTGGGACCGTCGGGTGCACGATGTGGCTATGCGCCAGGAGCTGCGCTTCTGGAAGCGCCTAGCCATGCCTGAGCTCGACGACGATGACTCGTACTGGAGCGCCGACGACGACATCGTCGACCCCGCAGAGAAGGAGAGGCTTCGTGACATCGAGCGCAGGGCCGCCGCCCATGACCATATGATGGCTGGCACTGACAGCCTAGGTGATGATAGCGACGGCCCGGACGGTAGTCTTCCTGCCGATGGAGGGGGCAAACGCTCCCACTTCACCTCCGCTCCCTTCCTCATGGGCGGCATTGCCATGCAGAGGGAGGACTCCAATGGCTACCACCAGCAGCAGCAGCAGCAGCAGCAGCAGCAGTCTGCGCCTGCTCCTCCGCCGCGTCCCCCCAGCGCTGCATCTAGCACTGGATCGACTGGCTCCTCGTAGCTGATGTTTCACAGTGAGAGAATCGGATATGGGCAGGGAGAGGGCATACCCCTGAGTGTCGTATATTCACTCCTACGATTTCTTTTGTGTTTCCTTGTTTCGGGTGCAGCCTGGTATATGGACCGGCGTTGGCAGGGTTTCGGAGTTGAGGTGTAATATTCTACATCTTTTGGCGCGTCTTACACATATTATTATTGTTACATGCGGTTTTCTACTGCCTGCGTGCACACGTCTGTCATCTTTTGGATTTTCCCTCTTGTAAACCCTTGACAGAACCCTGATCGTTACCAAAAAGAGGAAAGGAAGAAAAAGGAAGAAAGAAGAAGGTTCCCGTAAAATTACATGTTTCCCGATTTAACGACAAAGGAAAAAAAGTGCGGGAAGATGTCCGAATCAGCAGCCACTTTGCTCGTGACGCTGGTGATCATCGCCCTGGCCACTCCCACCATCGCCGTCCTTGGACGCCGCCTCGCCAGCCTTCTTGATCCCATCCTCGTCACCGCGCAGCTTAGCAAAGTATGACTTGATGTCTTCCGCCCCGATGGCCTGGCCGCTCTGGGCAAACTGCTGAAAGAAGGGCTTGAGCTTCTCCTTGAGGTGGTTATACGCCATGACACCCTCGATGGCGCGCACGCGGTCCACGTTGCGCAGGGCACTCTCTCCACGTTCCAGGAGGCTGCCGCTGCCGTGCGTCGACCCGCCGTGGTGCGACCCGCCGTCGTCTGTCAGCGGAGGTTCGTACACTTCTTCCTCCTCGAGCAGTTGCGGGTGGGCGTCGAGGTGCTTGTAGCATGTGGTGCAGCGGCAGAACTTGGTGCGGAAGTCCTCGTCTTTCAAGAAGAGGGAGAAACGGCCGGACGGCGGGGTGGGAAGGTCCGGCACTTTGCAGCCCAGGGTGATATCCTTGGCTCTTTCTTCTTCTTCTTCCCTCTTCGGTGCAAGAGGCTCGCTACCTTCCTTGTTCTCGCCGGGAGCTGCGTCTTGGCTTTCGCTCCTGGTGCGCTTAGGCTCTGCTGGTTCCTCAACGTCATCCTCGGCCTTGCGCTTCTTGGACCCGGTCTCTTCTTCAGGCGCCGGCGTGGGCGCAATGGTTGTGGTCGTCGCGGTGGCCGTCGCACCATCAAGCATGACTGCAGGGAGAAATCCCGGGCTGCCGGCATATGACTTGATCCACGGGTTCGCCTCAACGCACTTGTAGCAGATGAAGGTCTCAAATTCCTCTTCGTCCGGAAAGCCTGGGGGCATGGGTGGTTCGTCGTCGTCATCGTCGTCGACCACTGCCTCGTCATTGGCGGTGCCATTCGGCTGGTCCTCAGAGATCGGTGGTAACGTTCCATTCTCGTTCTTCTCGGATGCCGGCTTCCTTCCAGCCGCCATCTTCTCATACCACTTGGGACCCATGCCCACGAGGCACCCAGGGTGATACCAGTCCTCGCCACAACCGCCCGTCTCGACGGTACCCAGCCCCAGGCACTGAAACATGGTGCCCTTCTGCTGGAAGGGGTCATAGTCGCACTCGCAACCGCAGAAGCGGTTCGCGAAATTCTGGTTGTATGAGTTGTTGGCGGCGGGCTCTTCGGAGTGGACGCCGCCGCGGGTGTTGGTCTCGGAGTTGGTGCGTAGACTGCAGGGACTGGTCGGAGGTATGCGCTTCGTACCGCAGTCGCACGTGAAGTTGCGCTTCTGAAAGATCTCGACGAGGGCGTGCTCGCCGTGGCACTGGACTGAGCAGGCGTAGCAGACGCCCGCTGGCGTCCATTCGTCCGACTGCTTCTCGGGGCGTGGGTTGCACGTCAGGCAGGCAAAGACATTCTGTCGGAGGGAGCCGAGGATGTTGGTGCATGTGTCGATGCTCTGGATGGGGATGGTGTTAGCGTCTGTATCTGTCGGACGATGGTGATGGTATTAGCGTACGTAGGGCAGTGCCTCGCGCGCATCCGCTTCGAGGGCTTCCTGGCTGCGGATGAATCTAGAAATCCGTCAGTATGCTCCCCAGGGGTATGCTATCGCGCGTCCTATTCTTTGCTAGACGTACTCGGCTGCCGTCTGGGAATCACCAGAAGTCTGGGAATCTTGCGAGAAGCTGTTGCTTCGCGCTGTGGCGGTCGATGTCTGTCGCGTCGCGGCATCATCCGCGACCGAGGGATGGTCGGTAGACATGATGATTAAGCGTAATCGCAGAAGGATGAATCTGCCGAACGAGAGTGCGCGTCACGGGTTCAATGTCCAGAGGAGGGGGGATGTTTTGCAAAAAGAACAATTAAACAATAGAAAGCGATGATGAAGTGGGTCGACAGCTATCAGATGCGGAGGATTGAGGTCGCGCGTATTGATCCTTGTCCCTTTCCTCGATGATATCGAGGCCGGTGACTAGATGTGTAGCCCTTTCAGGCCACTTCGCCCCCGGCCCTTCGTGATACCTGTTGAGGAGGTACGCTACAGTGAGTGGTAGTATCCTTGGACGAAAATCAGAAGCCTCTTGGTAGTACTGACGTCGCCTGTGTCGTTTACCAGTGGACTCTAGCAATAAGGGTTCGTATAAAGGCTTGACGACATAAAGGGAAGTATGGTGATGTATGGTGATGTGTTGGTGGAAGAGAGTTCGAAGGGCAAGATTGCAGCTGAGCAGGATGAACTTTTACTTCTTGGTGAGCCTCCTGACGGGGAGGCAGCTGCCCGCCAGCGTTGCATGTTAGCTGCTTGCAAGCTAGTTGTTTGCCGGATGCCAACAGGCCCCAGGAAACAGATCTCTGTACCTAGCAGCAGTGACACTTCCATCTCGGAGCATACATTCATCTGCCTCCAGAGAATACCATTTTCAAGACTGGGATTCGAAGGGGCAAGAAAAGAAAAGGAAAAGAGCATGTGATTGTGATCAAAATTCCGCATCATCTTCATATGCTCTTGATGGCTAAAGCTTAGCAGTGGCTGAAGCTTCTGCAGATATGTACATGTATCATTATTATACATATTATATTTTACGTGAGTCACAGCGTGCCAGGGCCATGTGCCTTGTGGGTGCAGCCACATACAGTCACTCAATCTTTATCATCGGCATACTTGTAGACACGGGGGGTGGGTGTTTTGTGGTTGTCAGTACGCTCATTCAGCCTAATTGCATCTTCTCTTCTGTTTGTCAGTACACGCAGTCGTTCTCTAGAACTGGCAGGTTGGTTCCCTGCGTTAGTAGCTCCTCCAACGGTATCGATCAGTTCGCCAAGGCGGCAAGTCTGGCGGCGTGTTTCCCGATGAGCCTCCAATCTCCAACATGAGCTGCTGGTACTCACCACTTACATATAGGCGTCAATCTTGTATTATCGTTAACCCCCCCCCCATCGTATAGGGAAAGTTCTATATACGAATATGTATCTGTAGATGTACGAGTATGTACAGATTGCTACTAATAGTCAGTTCCCAGAGTTCCACTATAGCTTATCTCATGCTTTGTTTCTTCTCGTCATCTCCCTGGCATCACAGGCTGCGGCAATCCGAGGCTATCAGCCCGGGGGAAGCGTCAAGGGCCAGCCCACTGATCAATCTCTTCAACTCTATGGAGGGGCGCCATTCTATATGTCCACGGGCTTGAAGCATTGACAGAAATATGGTGGAAAGTTGGCACTCATATCAATAGCATATATTAAGCATGTGTTCACACGTCAGAGTAGAAGCTCCCTCCAGCCTCGGCGTCTATCTCCACCGCCTCTTCAAGGCCGACGGCGGAAAACAGCTTTTTCGGCGTGAATTCACCTCTTAACCCAGTCTTTCCCGTTTCCTTGAGACGGGAAAGGCCGTTCTTGATAGCTGTGTAGGCGGGCGCGAGCGATGCGAACGGGAAGATGATGATTTTGAAGCCGAATTCCTCTGCCTGGGCGGGCGTCCAGGTCGGCGTAGCCCCATGCTCGACCATGTTGATCAAGACGGGCGTCGGCGCCAGCTGTCTGCACACGTCCCTCGCCTGCTGCTCGTTGGTGATGCCCTCGATGAAGGCCACGTCGGCCCCGGCGGCGACGGCGCCCTTGAGGCGGGCCACGCACTCGTCGTAACCGTGGGTCTGGAGGGCGTCGGTCCGCGCCAGGATGACGATGTCGGATTGGAGCCTGTCCCTCGCCTGGCAAGCAGCTCCGATCCTCTGCACGTACGTCTCCATATCCACGACAGCCTTGCCACCCAGATGGCCGCACCTCTTGGTCTGCACCTGATCTTCGATGTGGAGTCCTGCCACACCCGACCGGTGGTACTGTGCCACCGTGCGCGCGACCATGTTGGGTCCTCCGTACCCCGTATCGGCGTCGGCGATTAGAGGAATCCTCGAGTCGAGGTTGGCGATCATCTCCGCATGCTCGCGCATGTCATTGAGCGTCGCAAATCCAAGGTCTGGCTGCCCGAGCTTGGAGGCACACGTTCCAGCACCCGTCTAGATCGTACGCGCCTGTGAGCAAACGAGGGCGGACACACGGAAAAACACCAACCGAAATGGAAAAGGGAGAGAGAACACGACCAGATGAGCTTCATCCTCTGCCATACCATGTAGATGCAGTCGAAGCCAACTTCGTGTGCAATCCGAGCACTGAACCCGTCGTAGACTCCTGGTGCGATGAGAATACCGTCTCTCTGAATCAGGCATCTCAAAGCCGCGCCGGCGCTGACTTTCTGCGCACTGGTGATACCGTTTGTGTTGGTCATTATTCTTTCCTCTCCGTCAAAAGGTTCAGTTCGCAATCATGTTACCTATCCTCAGCGTGGTAAAATATGGCCGGCACCTGAGTCTGCTTTATACCAGGGAGGCCTTGTGCCGATCGAGGCATCGAAAGATGATCAGGTCTGGGCATGCTGCCGATCTATTCCCGATTTCGCGTCAACCGCACGGCTTGGGGGCCTCTACCGGGTCCATCGTACTGCTGTCTCGGACTCTGATCCCGAGCCTTTGCTGTTGATCCTGCAGTATTATTGCCCCTGCCAGTGCTACCACGTTTGGCCCTCTAATCCGATGCCATCTCTACACATTTCGAGCAGGGACATACCCTGTAACAGGCGCATCGATTTTCAGCTGAACAGGCCCATCCACCTCGTCATCGTTGAAGTGATGCCTGGAAAGACGGTCAATTGATGTTGTCATGTTGCTTGAAGTCATACAGAGCTTCTTCGTAATACATATCCATAAATGTATCAGCCGAATCTGATCCAGGCGGTGAGATGTGGTGGCTTCTGCATGTATACTGTTTCTAAATCATGTTTACAACCGCTCACTTCGCTATATTTTACCTCATTCATCCATGATAGCAAAACTACATAACGAGCAAAACCTATAGTATAGCTGACAGTAACACTCAGATAGTAATAATGAGGAGAAAGGCGACTGGCAGTTTATGGAGACAACGAGTAGGCAAAAGAACAATCTCGAGATTGTGCGAATCACGAAGCTGCAATCTCGCAATACACCTCTATACGTTTACAAGATATTGTCAACTACGTACAGATCTGTATCATGGCTCTGAAATTCAAAGAAAACTAAAGACATGTGGCATATCATCAACAATCGTGACAGAAGTGTAGCGGCTTGGACAGAGTGACTGGCCTTTCTCCCAGATGAAGCACACGGGTGATGTACGGGCTACCCGTCACATTGTTCATCATGACTAGTATCGCTGCCCTTTCGAAATTCACCTGAAAGGTGGCTTGTTGTCTCGTAGACAGACATGAGAGGCATCTGAGCCAGAGAAAATACCACGGCGGGCCTTCATGCCCTTGTTTTCCCATCAGCCAATCTTTGGGTCCTAGGGTTTATTCTTCTTTCTTTCTCTCTGGATCCAACAGTACAGCTGATTATCTATCTACTAATCCCATATTGTCATGACTGACTGAGAAGAGATTCGGACTTCTTGAAGGAGCCTGTTTCTCAAAGAAGTTGTTCTGGTAAGGGTCGGGCGCTACGACGCGCTGTTCTTCTCCCTACGGCGATAGGAATGCGGGAGACGCGAGTGCGCACCAAGGCATCGTCTTCCATGCCACTCGTCCGACGGGGAGTCCCATCTCACTCTATATGGGGTTGATCCACTCGATGATTTGTATCCGAAGGGGGAGATCAGATACTACATGTGTAAAGTGCACGACATGCAGATTCTAATATGTGCTCGTAATTAGGTCATCAACATTCACTCCACAGCCATAGCCCGTGTGTAGGGATGATATTGTCTTACCGACGTTTCCGCCACTATCTGTAATGAGAGGCCGATGTGCCATGAGAAAAGCGGAGGCTGCGTGGCACAGAGTCATCTTCTTTCCGTTCTGACACCATCATTTAATATCCGCACTTGTTGCAGACAGTCGCAGCAGAAGGCTGCATATTGAATTTCGCGTCCCATCCTATGAAACACATCATAATAGTAGATAGAAAGGGACGGTCGTGTCTTACTTCGTGGAGATATTACTGGATGGATCTGATGCAGACAAATCAGGGAAAAGCCCAAAAATGCACGACATTGTCTCGCGGCACGATTGTAGGGCAGCAATGGCCCAACAAAATACTGTCTTACACGATTTGTCTTCGGCGGTCCTTGCGTCCGAGTTTACTTGGACGTTGTAGCCTGCAAGTTGAACATCACCCATAAGAGTCCACGATCATCAGGAGAAGGAACAGGGAGTGCACATGTTGTTCATTTCAGGATGGCCAATACACATATATAAAGTCTAGTTCTCGATATTATATGTGATCATGGCTAAACGGAAATTTTTTCTGATATGTATTGGGCGAGATCGAGTATCTTGGAGCCTCACCTTCCCACGAGTTCAGGGGAACCTAGTGAGTGCTCATGAACAAAGGGAAGACTTGCAGAGTAGAATTCCAGAGTGGAGGGTGTAGAGATATGGGGTATGATCTTCTCATATTGGTGATTGGGCAATGGCTCCCATCTAGAAATGTAGCAGTTCAAGATTGATCGGCGTCTCCCTTCGCAACCTATGACAGAGGTGGAGGATGCGTGGGCTTTAGACATGGTCCTGTCTCCCGCAATTACGCTGTATGATGAATCTCATTCTTAGGTCTTTGCGGTCTAACACGATCACCTTGGGGCACTGGAAGTGGCGACGAACGCGTAGAGGCCTTCGCGGTGGAGTGGAATGTATGATTGCCCCGAGTACGTGTTCCCTGATTCAGAGGAACAGGCCCAACCTGTCGACGGATTGATGTCTTGCCCACGGGCAAACCATTCCTCTATTTTCCAATAAGCCGGGGGGAGAAATGTGAGAAGCTCAACAGGAGATCCAGGATAGTCCCCTGATGTATAATCGTCAGTAGGGGGGGAGGAGCATATAAGAGGAAAGAGGTTGCACCGACTTAAGCCATCATCCTTCTCAGCACGCCTCTCATTTCATAATACAAACTTCCAACTCTTTCATCCATTCTTTTATAAATCCGGTTTCTTTCTTTCCAGGAAAAAAATCCCCTCAGCCAACATGAAGTTCGCTCTTCCCCTCGTCGCTCTCCTGGCTACCGCCTACGCCGGACCCGCCCCTGCTACTGACCAGGCCGAGATCGAGTCTGGCTATGGCAAGTCCAAAAACTGGGATTGGTGCGGTGCCAAGACCTTCAGCAAGGTTAGTGAACGAGAATCAACTGCTTTTACTTTTCGCAACGACTAACCCGGTGTTTAGTGCTTCGGGGCCAAAAGCTGTCAGAAGGACGCCGACTGCCTGAAGAAGAGCAAGGTAAGCCCGACAGGAATAGTTCTTTCAAATACCGATTCTATATGTTTCTAACAATCACAATAGGGCAATGTTGACCTCATCGGTTGCGGCGGCATCATGTTCCCCAACGACTGCTATGCTGTAAGCCAAACTTGAAAACGCCCGAGCCAAACTTTACATGCTAACTCGTGATCAAATAGTACTTCTAATTACAAGGACTGCACGGTCGAATAGAATAGTCTTATCATGTACTAGATAATCGAAATAGCAACGTCGAAAGTGGTTAGATGTCCACATGTAGTTGTTGAATACCAAGAAAAAAAAACCTGCCTCTATGCGTTTTCGAAGGTCTACTTGTACATACCAATAAATTGTCCCTCTTGATAATTTCGGGTTGATCCCAGGTGTTTGTTTTGTATGTTTGTTTTGTATGAGTGGGTTTCCATCGATCACTTCATGACTCATAGTAAGTCATGCTGACAGTGTTATCCAAGTTGTCTATCTAAACCAGTTCAACTTCTATCAAATTCTCGACGTCCGACAGTCCAGAGCTCCACAGCTTGGTAATCTTCAGACCCAGTCCGCTTCCCTCAATGAGCTTGTACCAATTGTCCTCGGTGCGCTCGAGAGCTGAGAACTGGGTCATCATGAGGATGTCGTAGCTTGTGGCCTCCCAGTAGGCGTTTCTCCGAGGAAGAACGACTTCAAAGATGAGAATCTTGCTGTACCCGGGTTTCATGGCCTTGGCCAGCTGTCCCAGGATCTTGACGCAGACGTCGTCGGGCCAGTCGTGCATGATGCACTGCATAAAGTATGCCCTTGCCCCTTTTACGGGCTGCTCCGTCAGGAAGTCGTGAGGCATCACCTGGATGGAAGGGTCAATGTCCTTGACATCATCAAGGACAACTTCGAGATCTTGGAGGATGAGTTTCTACGTATACCGTTAGTACGCTCAACAGTCTTCATTGTCGTCGGGTCTCGCCTCCCCGCGAGAAAGGGTTGGTACTGACACCAGGGTGGTTGGGATAGAACTTCTTGAAATCGTTAAGGTCGTGTCCCAGGCCTCCACCAACGTCCACCACCAAAGGTGCGTCGGCCGCAGTATCCATGCCTTCAAACAGTGTCTTCTCGACGGGGTAAATACTGGGGTGCATCCACGGCACTCGCCCTTGCCTTTTCCCACCCACTTTGTGGAATCACTTGTCAGTATTATACGCAACGGGGGCTGGCTGGATAACGTACTGTGGTTGTTGATCTGAGGGCCTAGTCCAACCGATCGAAGATATTCGAAGCAGTTAGCAAGGTCGGTGTTGTAGGACGCATGCATAGCCGTGTGAGCAGAGTCTGTCGGGTTCTTCCAGTTGGTGTTACGGAGGAACTTGTAGAATTCTATCGGACTGCGACCCATTCCACCGATCCTTTTTGCCATGTTAGATGACATCCAGTCTTGATCGTGGCCGAGTTCAAAGACTAGATGCTTACAGTGAGAGGTAGCCGTCACCGATGATATCCAAACTCAGTGCCTTGGAAAAGGGAGTAAGTCTGTACTCATCCTCGTCGGTCTCGATGAGGTGACCCATAGCGCAGACGTGCCGCATCAGACGGCCTGCGTATCATTATGTCTTAGCTTCAGCGGTCCGCCAGGATGCTTCCAAAATAAAGGCAACCAGAACTTACCCAGAAGAACTGGGTCAACTTTGACAACATTGGCGAGGGTCGAAACCTTCTGGGGCTTGTCAGGACCGTTCCTCACCATGTACTTCCAGAGGCCTATGTCGACGCCAACGTTGATGGCCGCAATGAGACCGGGCTAGGTCGTTTTTGTTTGGTCGCTGGTCAGCCCTTCCTCATTTCCCTTTATTTGAAGTCGAGGAGCACGGTCACAACATACATCGGCCATTTGGTGCTCCAGCATAGTCTCTCGGGGAGTCTGGAGAGAGAGAGCGAGATCGCGCGCCTTGATGAACAGCCGATGGCGCGTCTCGCTGTCATCAGGCTTCAGGTCCTTGGCCATGGCCGTGATGCTCTCAATCAGGTCCGGGACTCCATCCAGGTTGTTAGGACGCACGGCGTCGGAAATATCCACTTTGCTACTCATCTCCGATGTAAAGGAGGTAACGATTGTGTACGGGAGGGAAGGTTACGATATGCCGTAAGATTGAATTGAATGTTCGTCGCACCCGGGTATTTAGTTTACCTACCCCTCACTTTATCATACAAGACTGGAGCCATGGAAACAGGCCTGCAAAGGAAAACATTAAACCACAATGAACAGACTGTCCGGTAAGGGGGCGGTGCCGTGGGGTATTGTGGGCGAGTGCCGCGGATGTGAGCCGCTTGTTCAATCCCCTGTACCGCATGTGGGTGTCGCTTGGTAATATTACTACACATACCTCTGTCATGAGAACTTAAAGAAGGGGGGTGCTTGGATAGTCAATATCAGGGTCCGGCACTGCATGCCTAGCTTTTCATAGGCAACGGGTACGAGTCTAGGTGATTTCGTCGGAGATGTTGACTGATTCTATCATGTCTACTGCTATGTTGCCAACCCAACGACATGATGGTTTCGAGTTGCCCCATGAATTCTCATTTACTGGCATACTGCATTCACGAAGAATACAAAGGGTCAATGGTGAGTTTATTACGGTCGGACACGGACACGTACAAGATGGGGAGAACTTCCAGGCCAGCGAAAAGCTATGACATGTCATGCGAGTTGCAGAAAGGGAACGCCGGGAAGGGGTCCCGTCACGTTGTCACCGGCAGAACCGGGCCTATCATCCGTACTATACGAGTGTAAGTGGATCATGGCGGTTTTCTAGTCTCGCCATGCGGGGCTCTATGCATCAAATGTACTCCTATATGTTGCGTCCTTTTTTTTATGGTATCTTATAACATTGTACGAGTAGCTATTGCCGGTGCTTAGCAGATGCTCCTATGGGGGTAGTTGTGGGCGAGGGGTCCGGGGGTTCGGAGAGAGGGGATTAGACCATATGAGAGGTTAGGGTCGCCCAGAAGAGAAGAGAAGATCGTATGACGATGGTTACACGAAGAAGAAAAAGGAAGCAATCGCGATAGTCAAGGCGGTTTTAGCAGGTAGAGGGATCTTTTGCGAAAAGCAATGTTTATGGACAAAGTACTAGCGTGAGGCGGTAAAGAACCTGTTAAATATATACAAGAAAATTGAGAAAGGAGATGTAAGTCATAAAATGCGTACAAGAAGAAAATAAACAAGTAGAAGAAGAAAATCTGCACCATGGCGAAGGGAAAGAAAAAAATGCGATGGATAGTTGCCAACCAATCAATCCTTAGTAGGTAGCAACTCAGCAACGCCACGCTTCTTGTTCCGCTGGATACCACACTTGCTCAAGCACGCGTCAATGCCAAGGGCAATATTGTCCGGGATAGCCTTGCGAAACGTGTCAATGTCAGCGCCATCGAAGCTGACGGGACCACCAAGGGTCGCCTGGACGATATCATCGCCGAGCCCGAAGAAGTTCTGCGCAACGGTATTGACGCCGGGGTCCTCGTCGTTGAAGGCTGCGACGAAGACGGCGTCGGTGCAGTCCGGGTTGAACTCCTGGTGGATGGCACCCTGGGGGAAGACAGACATCTGGTAGGTATCCATTGTGTTGGCGATGGCTGTGACCTTGTTCTGGGGGATGAAGCTTGTCACGAGGCGACCCTTGACAACAATGTTGAGCTCCGTGGCGCGCGGGTGCACGTGCGCCGTGTTCATGCCGCAGGGGCCGAGGAAGCCGACCGTCATGGAGGAGTCGAGGCCGACGAGGGCCGGCATGGTCTTGGCGTCGGCGGCGACAGACCGTCCACCCTTGCCCTTTGTCACCTCCGGAGGGCTGTCGGATGCAAAGTCGAAGACGTAGTCGCCCGGCTGGTCGAGGAGCTTGGCACGGTCCTCAGCTGTGGCGGCAGTCCTGAGCTCGGCGATGAAGTCGGCGTCGTTGGCCCTCGTGTTGATAGGAACAATGGGAGGGAGGACGTCGTCGATACTATCCTGGCGCGGCTGGTGGGCTGTGGGCATGGCAGATACCATGGCCGCGGAGGCCAGGATGATACCGAGAGCGGAAGAATGCATTGTATGTGATGTTTAGTTCGGTAAGAAATTGAAAAAGTCGAATAATGTGGGTAGATGGGGATGGCAGGCGTTGTGCTTGTCTGGCGTGTAAGTGCTGATTGAAACATTTCGGGGAACATGGCCCATGCTTTATATTACTGCTATGATACTTTTCATATCGAATCGAACATGAGATTCGCCTCATCCCATGATCCTCTGCCATCCCCGTCATCATCATCCAGTAGACTGCCTTGAGGGCTATTCCATGCATATGCCGTTGAACCCGACTATCTGTCCGACCCCAGAGTCCCGACCATGCATCCGCCGCCGGTCGGGAGCCCAAGATGCCGGGGGCTGTGCCAAGGACAACAACGCGAGCAGCAAAGCCGGCGACGAGCTACTACATCGAATGACAGGCGATATAGCGTCTATCGGCGTCTGTCCTCATGTATCGCGCTTGATGAAAATCCCAAGCTGTCAGAAGTTGCTGTGGCAGGGTTGTACGACGGATACGGGGCCTTGGTTTCTGGTGAGGCGCAGCTGTTTCTCTACCAAATCCGCCTTGTAAGTGTGCAAGTCTGTGCTAATTAAAGATGGAATTATGGACTGTAACCTGTTGGCGGCCGACTGCTGCTGCTTATATGCATGCATACAGACAACCAACAACGCCAACATGTGTCAGTGCTACGTCTGTCAGTGATGCACTGGATCGATGAAGGCAGCTGATATAATATTCCTGTGCTACTATTTCCGTTCTTTGTGCAACGTAGTTAGAAGAAAAAGGTGTACATGTGCAATCAAGGTCAGCTTATTGGTGTACTTGATATCCACCATGCTACACTAAGTCGACCCAGAAAATGAAGCTTCGGATGTTTGTATCCAGAAAGTCATTGTGGGCTAGGTATTATTTCGGCTGACGACCAAAGAGTGAGTAGGAACTGGAAACACAAGTAGTGACTATTCTAGTCCATGTATAGACCAGTTTTGACTGTGAACTCCCTTTGCAACGTCTCTAATGACCATGGTGAAGAAGACAAAGACCCAAGACCCGAGAGAATTGTATCGGTGTCAAAACGTGCCATGCACTAATCCGTACTGTTGGGTGAGCACTGGTGGCCGCAGTAACGTCTCTTAAACAAGGACAATTGCGTCCCCTCCAACATTCAGCCGTCGCCCGGCTAGCTCAATCGGTAGAGCGTGAGACTCTTATATCGGGTCTTCGTTCTCGAAGAAAGAGACACATCTCAAGGTTGCGGGTTCGACCCCCGCGTTGGGCTTTTCCTATAATTTCTCCCAAGAACGATTGAACTTCTTTTTTTTTTTTTGCTTTTTCAACATTTCCAACTAATGGATGAAAACGTGTATACCCATTACGGAGTAGATTTGGAACAATAACCAAATCTATGAATTAATGTTTTTCTGTGCTTCATTTCCTCACTGTGATCCTTACCGTAATAAAATCTCCGATACCATGAAGCTGACATAATACTCCACCAGACACATTTCCAACTGGCGCCGCGACCCTCTGAATGCCATTTTTTGTCACCCTAACGTAAGAGAGGGGCACCCTTTACGCGCTACGCGTCTGAACGCGTCTCCGTCAAACTCGACCCTCGTCTCTCAACTCGGACCCGTCCATCGTAGTCTACCTGTACATCATACCGATAGCCCACCGTCCATTCCGCTCCCCTCAGATCACTACGCAGATTCGTTATTCCAAAATATCAAAGGGAAGAACCCGATAATGCCGCACTCGACGGACATGGGGTCAAGATCTTCCCCTGTCAGGGACGTCAAGGACGAGCCCATGGACGACGACACGATTGTCCCCGACGCCGACGATGTGGACATGGTCGAGCTTTCGCAGGATGCGCCCTCGACTGCCGCCGAGTCCACAACCGAGAAGAACGACTTCAAGCTCGAAGAACTGTTTGATAATGACTCGGACGAAGAGTTTCCCAGCTCGGCACCCGTTGCCGTCCAGCCCAGTTCGCCGCCTACGGACGACACACCCATGTAAGTAGAGCCAGGGGAAGGTTCTCAGCCGATGGAGGCGAGTAACTCGCTGACACTGAAACGTATCTAAAGGGACCTCACATCTATGAAGGCATCCGATCCGGAGGTGATGCGTCTCTTCTACCAGCGTCTGTTCCCCTGGCGTTATCTGTTCCAGTGGCTCAACCACAGCCCCACGCCTACAAACGATTTTGGCAACCGCGAATTTGCCTTTACCCTGCAAAACGATGCCTACCTGCGATATCAATCCTTTGCTACGGCCGATCTGTATGTGACGAACCCTACCATGGGCTACTAGGGAGGAGCGACTAGAGGACCCGGGGCGTTACTAATCAGGAGAGGGGGAAACCCGCACCATAGACTCCGCAAAGACGTCCTCCGCCTGATGCCGTCTCGTTTCGAAATCGGCCCCGTCTACACAACCAACCCACGCGACCGCAAGACTCTGCGCAACAGCACGGCCTTTAAGCCTCTAGCCAAGGAGCTGTGCTTCGATATCGATTTGACAGACTACGACGACATTCGTACGTGCTGCGACAAGGCCAACATCTGCAATAAGTGCTGGCAGTTCATGACCATGGCCATACGGGTTGTCGACGTGGCCCTACGCGAGGACTTTGGCTTCCGCCACATCATGTGGGTGTACTCTGGTCGCCGAGGTGTTCATGCCTGGGTGTGCGACAAAAAGGTCCGCAGCATGGATGACCAGAAGAGGAGAGCCATTGCCGGCTACCTCGAGGTCGTCAAGGGTGGTTCGCAGAGCGGTAAAAAGGTCAATGTCAGGAGGCCACTACACCCTCACCTAGTGTAAGTCACACCCCCCCCCCCCCYCSCCCCCYCTCTCTCTTATTTGACGCCCCTTCTCGATCAAAAGGTGCTGACCACGACCTGCTCTAGACGGAGCTTGGATATCCTCAAGGACCACTTCCAGCACGACGTCCTCGAAGCACAGGACCCGTGGGCGACTGAGGAGCGCGCCACCAGACTCCTGCAGCTTCTCCCCGACCAGACGCTTAACGACTTCCTGCGACGCAAATGGGACTCTGCGCCCGGCCGCGCCTCGACATCCAAGTGGGCCGACATTGACGCCTTGGCTAAGACGGGCGCCAGCAAGAAACTAGACGCCAAGGCCCTCCTCGAGGCCAAGCAGGACATTGTCCTTGAGTACACGTACCCGCGGCTGGATATCGAAGTCAGCAAGAAGCTCAACCATTTGCTCAAGAGCCCCTTTGTTGTGCACCCGGGCACAGGGCGCGTCTGTGTGCCCATTGACCCCGCCAACGCCGACGACTTTGATCCGCTGGCGGTGCCGACCGTCCAGGATCTCCTGAGTGAGATCGACTCCTACAAGGCTGCCGATGCCGAGGCCGGTACCGACAAGCCCAAGGCTGTGGCGGACTGGGAGAAGACGAGCCTCAAACCTTATATCGACCATTTCCGCCTGTTTATCAGTGGCATCATGAAAGAGGAGAGGGCTGCCGGTGTCAAGCGAGAAAGAGATGATGACTCAATGGACTTTTGATAACAATGAGCTGTGGTTTAAATTGGGTTGAACATATGGACATGGGTTGGCGTATAATGGAATCACTTTTTTTTCTTTCTCTCTGATACTACTATTATCCGGCTTAACCTGACCACCAGGAGTGCAAATGAGTAGACTCCAGAGACCATCCTACATGACGGACCCAGGCATTATCTACAATCGTCAATGTACAAGCCCAGGAAGTTTGAATGTGTAGTCTATAGGTTGTCTAATACTCCAGTCCCAAAAGTGCTATATATATACTCCATATGAGCCAACCTTGTGTATCTTAATCAGCTCGAGCAGGGTTTTTTTTTTTTGCACCTTGTGTGCGTATATCTGCGTGTATCTACATTACTCTTCTTTTGCCTCTCCTTCACCCCTTTGCTTCGCGTCATTTTGCCCTCTTGACTCTGCCTGCTCCTCTGATACTTGGGTACAAGAGTCACCTATCTCGTCCTGACCAGCCGTCTCCTGACCAGCCGTCTCCTGGCCATCCCTGCTCTCGCTCTCGGTCCGACCCCTCAACACACCACCCTTGCGCTTGGGGATGACAGCCTCGAAGGCAGCACCCCAGTCCTCGTATTCGAGCCACTTTAGCATGATCTCGACAACATGGTTGGTAGCGAGGACCTGACGGCTCTGCATCATCATGAACTGGCCGATGGGCAGACGGGCGGTGCGGATGCCGCGCTCCCTGGCCCTCCGGTAGCACAGGCCCTTTTCGCGATTCTTGTCGACCAAACCGCCTACGATGTAGCACTTGTTCGGCTCGAGACGCTCGAGAGTATAGGGAGAGTCGGAGGTGAGGTAGATGATGTGCCCGTACTCCGGCCGGGGCTGCGGTTCCGGGTCGGGCAGGGGAAACGGATCCTTCCCGTCGCGCGCCCACGAGAGTGGCTGAAGGTCTAGGCTCCTCTGCAGCGGCTCTACCACCTCGCCCCGCATCTTCTCCTGCGCCCGCTGCGAGCACTCGACAAAATCCCCCGAGTGGAAGCCCACGCCCTTCCACGACAGGTGCTGGTTCGTCAGCACCGTCTCGAACCGGTCCAGAAGCCGACCCTTCCACCCGGACATCCACAGGTTGACCCGGTACCGCGCGTTCCGGTTGTCCGAGTACGACCGCGTAACCTGGCTCGACAGCGAGATGCGCTCCTTGTCGCTCATGTACTGCTCGAAGTCGCAGTCCACCACCAGCGCGATGCGCGCCACCGTCGACGGCTTCTTGGTCGGCCGCTCCTCCGGCGGCAGTCCCTGAGCCTCCAGTGCCTGGCGACGCTCGCGCCGGCGGTCCTTCATCTCGTACCGCTTCTCCTTGCGACGCTTGCGCCGATCGTCCCTGCCATCTTCCCATTCTTGCTGCTTGCGTAGCCGCTTCAGGGCATTCTTCGACATGCGAAGAGCCGGAGTTGGAGCAGCAGACTGGCCGTCAGCTGTGACGTGCACTTCCTCGCGGGTGACTGCCGCGTCTGACGGGGCATCTTCTGCTGCTTTCTGAGGCTGTGTCGGGGGGGCAATATCCCCCACCTGTTCTGAGCTCATGGTGGACTGGTGAGAGGTTTCAAGCGACAAGACACCTATTCCAAGCGCTATTAGTACGGTTCAATCACAAATATCTGCAGAGTCTCGTCTCCTGACATGATAAGAGAAGAACAAGGAAAGGATTCACCTAATATATAGCGTAATCGGTATTATAAAACTGCTCTCTTCTCAATTTTTCACTTGAAGCTACTGATGATCTTCACCAAGGACCCATCGCGTACCCCATTTTAACTACCCCCACAACAGCCAATCATAAACGACTAGTTGCTGACAAAAGCACGTGACTCCAAACCACCCTTGGGAACTATCACCATCGCTTTCCCCAGCTTCCCTCACCCCCCTCCCCCATATTACCCCAGATCAGTCCACCTCCACTTGTCCAATCTGCGCTTCACCTGGACCCGTAGACACAACAATGGAGCGGCAATCGACCATCCGTCCCAAGGGCCTCTTGGTTAGCGGGACAACGCCCTACATCCCTCACGATGTCATTTCCGAGACGACCAAGGCCGGTGTTGTCGGTCTTCTAGCCGGTAGCTTTACCGGTGGAGTCCGCAACGCCATGTCCAGAGAGAGCCTTGGTATTTCTGGCTTCTTCATCCGTCAAGCTCCCCTGGTGGGAATCATCAGTATGCCGTCCTCTCTATTGTTTTCCCCGTTTCCCCTTCGATATTCGCCCTGTACTCTTCTTCTCTGTCTCTCTCCTCCATGTTTCCCACTGTCATAGATTCCCCCCTCGTTACGACAAATTGACGCTAATCTTGACTTTCGGTTTATAGCTGCCGCTCCCGCCGCCTACATCTTCGTCAAGGGTATCACGCAGAACCTCATTGGAAATGAGGACCCCTGGGGCGCCGGCTTAGGTGGTTTCGCCGCTGGCGGTGTCCTTGGTCTGCCTTGTATGTTCTGGATATACTCAGCTTACATTTCCCTCTCTCCGTCGATATTTCTGACACCCACCCTCCCCTCCCCATTTAGTCAAGAGATTCGCGCCCATGATTGCCTGTGGTACTGCCTTTGGCGTCACGCAGTTCCTCTTCACCCTTCTCGGCGCCCGAGTCGATAGCTTCAAGGCCGAGGAGGACGAGTTCCTGCGCAAGGAGTCTGTTCGTCGGACCACGCGTGTTCCTATCGAGGAGACGATTGCCCATATTGGCGAGGGTCGTGGTACGTTTTTTTTTTTTTTCAATTTCCTTCTGGTTTCATTACTTCTGGGCCTCAGCCCTCTCCAACCTAGGACCTAGGATTAACACTGGATCACACTCTGACAATGATATAGGCGTTCGTGCCGAGGGCTACGAAGACAGGCGACGCCAACTCATCAAGGAAAAGTACGGCTTCGAGGTCAACCCTGTCAAGGCCACCGTCGACGGTAGCTCATAGGTCACGCTCACCAAGTTCTACTCTTCTCAATATCGTTTGTTTAATGCAGTGCAATGAGACGACAATCATGTTTGTCTCTCCACAACCCGTCGCTATTTGTACATATCACCTCCTTTTTTGACTGTTTTCTTTTGTATTCCGAAAGAGATAGGCGTTTTTTTGTCTTGACTCTGGGTTCCTTGCTCGTGTTTTGTGATATGCCATACCAACAAATGAAGTATGTTGTATCTTGACATTGCTCCTCAATGAACCCTTGACCCTTTGATTCCAAACCGAAGGTCAACTGACAATGAACAGGAGATTGAGGGGGGGTATTTGTGACGGACAGGAATATTTCATATTCAGACTGGAGCAATTTTAGGGGAAAGAAAAATAAAAAGAAAAAAGAAAAGAAGACACATTCTTGACATTATCGAACTAATACCATTCCCTAATATGTTCCTAAACGCCGTGATACACTATATATATATATATATATATATATACCTTGCCCTGCTCCAAACAGACAGAAATCAGACAGGAAGCCAAAGTAGTAGTCTACAGATTCTTGACAGATTGGAAAAATGGATTGGCCAACAGGTTCTTATCTGCACCGACCAGCTCCTTCAGCCTAGCTACCTTGTCTGACTTGGACATGCTGTCGCCTGCAGCACCAACCTCTTCCTTCCACTGCTTCAGGATAGCTTTGAGCATGGCACTCCCATCCTCGACGTCACCCTTTGAGTAGCGCGTGAGGGATTGATCCTCGTGCTTTGAGGTGAAGTCTTCTAGCTCGTCGGCCTTACGCTTGGCCATGCGGACCACCTTGTCGGGAAAGCGTACCAGCTCTGCGACATGGATGCCGAAACTCTGGTCGCAGATGCCCGGCTCAACCTTGTACAGGAGCGTCACCTCCCGTTTGGTATCGGCGTCGCTCTTCCCATCAGTGCCGCTGATGTGCGCCGTGACGTGGAGGTTGCGGACGTGGGGGTACTGGTCTGCTAGGGCCGTGAGCTCGTGGAAATGCGTGGCAAACATGGCAAAGCAGCGAATCTCCTCGATGATGTGCTCGGATATGGCCCAGGCGAGACCGAAGCCGTCGTACGTCGAGGTGCCACGGCCCAGCTCGTCAATGATGATCAGGGATTCCGAAGTGGCTGATTTCAGAATGTTGGCCGTCTCGAGCATCTCGGCCATGAATGTCGACACGCCCTTGAGCTGGGAGTCGCTGGCACCGACGCGCGCTAGGATGGAGTCGAACAGCGTCACCTCGGCCTCGGAGCAGGGCACGAAGCAACCGACCTGGGCCATAAGGGCGATGACACCCACTTGGCGGATGTAGGTGGATTTTCCACCCATGTTGGGACCGGTGATGACGAGGAAGGATGACTTGTCACGCGTCAGCTCAATGTCATTTGTGATAAACTGCACGTCGTCCTGAAGCTCGAGGCATGGGTGGCGCGACCCGCGCAGGATGGTCTGGCCTTCGCCGCGGTTGTGGATCTTGGGGCGGACGTAGGCGTCGGGGGCATGGGCCGAGCAATGCGCCAGAGAGACGATGACGTCGAGGTGGGCGAGGACGCCGCCCAGACGCTCGAATACGGGGCAGTACGAGGCGGCCACCTGGACCACCTCATTGACCAGGCTGCTCTGGGTGCGGTTGTAGTTCTGCGACAGCTGATCGTACTCACGGCGGCATGCCTGCATTTTCTTCGTAGTGAAGTAGACGCCGTTCTTCTGGGTCGAGCACTCCTGGTACCCCGACTTGTTGCGGATGCACCCGGCCTCCTGACGCGTCAGGCGCATGCACACCCCGTGCACCTTGTGGTTCATGTCGAGAAAGATCTTCTTGTCGGGTTCTTGGCCCAGGTCGCGCGCGGCTGCGTGGAACTCGGCGCGGATGTCGCGATTGAGTTGGTCCAGCTTCTTGCGGATCACGCGCAGGTTAGGGTCGTACTCAGATTTGATTATGTACTCGTGCCTGTCGAGGGCGTCCAGGTCCACCGTCTGCTCCACCATGTCCTGCAGCTTACCCAGGTTGTCCGACAGGTCGCGCAGCTTGGACGTGTAAGCCTCGTCGAGTGGGTCGCGGTATGCCTCGTCCATGACTCCCTCAAAGGTGCCGATGAAGCCCGGCAGACGGATGACGACCTGGTACGCGCGCACAACGTCCTCGAGGTTGGCCTTTCCCCTCTGGAAGCGCTTCGACAGACGGTACAGGTCGGGGACAGACCGGAGGTGCTCTTCTTGCAGCGTCTGCCGCAGTTCTGTGTCTGTGAAGAAGGCCTCGACAAGTTGCTGGCGCTTCTCGATCTCGGCCTTGTTCATCAGAGGTTGCTTGAGCCACTGGGCCAGCAAGCGGCTGCCAACGGGCGTCTTGCAGTGGTTGAGCACGCCGTAGATGCTCATCGTCTTGGAGCCGTCGCGGGGGCCTGGCATGAGGTTGAGGGCCTTGAGGGCGGCGGCGTCGAGCTTCATGAACTGGGCCAGGTCGTGCTGATAGAGCTGGTATTGGCCAAAATTGGAAGGGTCCTGCAGCGCGCCCAGGTACTTTATGAGGGAGGCTGCGGACCCCATGGCCAGCTTGAGATCAGTCTGGGGAAGCAGGGTGGCGGACCGCTCGTCCTTGAGAAGACGGGCGAGGTCCTGCTCGATGTCGCGGGTACCAAAATCACCGACAGGTCGCTCCGCAATAGCCACGCCGCAGTTGCTGATGACCTGCTTCAGCTTGATCAGCTCCGGGTCCTTGTCCTCTCCCCTATCCATTTGAACAATGCACTCGCGGACGCCGAGCTGAATGAGCAAAGCCTCGAAATTAGAGTACAGGTCGTTGTCGAGGAACTCGCTGACTCCCAGCTCGCGCACGCTGGCGTCGGCAAAGCACACGCCCACCTGGCGAGCCTCGGAAGCCTTGGCCATTATCTTGACGGCCAGAATCATGGGCGCAGACTCAATCTGGCCACCCAGATCGTCCTCAACATCCTGGAAATTTCCGGGAGACCCCTTCTTGACGCACTTCCAATTCATACGGCCGTTGGAGCTCTCCCATATCTCGACTCGCTTGCCCAGCTTCATCAGGGCCTCGCGGAGGAATTGGCGGAAGACGGTAACGGTCATGGAGACGGAGGGCAGTCCAGTGTGATCATTTCGGCCGAGTTGTCGAACAACCGATGTTGTCTTGTAAACCTGTTGTTGTCACACAAACGCACATCCGTTAGCGGCTGAGAGAAGCAGCGAGGGAAGGGTCTGGCTGGTCGTACAGTCTTAGCAATGAAGTTGGCATCCTGGCCATGCGACGTGTACCAGTCGCCACGGTCGAATATGCGAATAGTATTCTCGTCGACAGACGGTAGTGACTTGTAGAATTTGATGAAGCCGCCCTCATCGTCGAGCTGGAACGAATCCCATTAGCATCGGCTGGTGGTCCTGGGGGTTGCAAAGGATGGCGAGGACAAACCTTGAGCTCGGGTCTCGAAGCCATAATGGGCAATCGGAGCAACTTAGCATCTACCAAGTGAGGTGTGAAGCGGCGTTGATGCACACAAGGGTAGGGTAGTGAGCGAGAGGGAGGAAGGGATAGGGGGAGTCGATGTCGCGTAAAGGGTTGATAGGATCAAGTAGTTAAAGCAACCCCACGACCGAGGGATACGCGTTGGGCCATTAAACCAGGACGCGTAAAGGTCGCGCTGGTGCAGGTTAAGTAAAAGTGCATATTATGTGGCTGCGAAGTATGGCTGGTGGAGAGATACCCTTTCAGCCACATTTAACGGACAGCCACAACTGTGAGTATATTGTATGTATGTACTAGTGCAGAATGCAAGCCACATTTTGCACTAGGCATTCAACTCACGAAGTGTAAGATTTAGAATGCGAAAAGCGGTGCTGATGATGGCATGAAGTCACAATTTGCATGCGATCAAGAAAGTTCTAACGAGTAAGCCTCTGGAAAGTTTTTTCCTGCAACTTGTACTTAGCTAGTAATGCCACTGTGAAATAGAGAGACAAGAGCCGCAGATAAGCAGGTGCATCCCATTCACAGACGGTGCCTTCCGTTTTGGGAGTATAGCACCGTAAACTTGTTCCCTTGATGAACTCATTACATACAAAATATTGATTGGAAATAGTGCGCTTAGGGAAAAAATTCCTAAAGGGAACAAAAGGAGACTAAAAGGAAGAAAGAGAGAAAGAAGGAAAAGAAAAGGAAGGAAAAGAAAAGTGGTTCTTAAAATCATGCTTAATTGTCTCGTTATTTTTTAACCATAAAACTCTTTTCTTATCGTTTTTGTTTTGTTTTAACCATAAGTCCCTCTCTCCCCAATAGAATTACCGTAAGGCCCTTAACCTTTGCGGAGACAACTGTCTATCAAGGTTCTCGCCTCGGTCTTGGCAATTGTCTGCCCATCAAGGTTGCTCTTGCATCCCGTTCGTTGAGCGAACCACAATCAGCCAAAACTAACCAACGCTGTTTCTTATATTCTCTCACGATGCGGGTTTAATTCCCGTATCACTGCGGAGTAATGACTGGTACGGCACATGCAGGATTTTCTTTTTCGTTTTTCGTTCTGTGACTTCTAGTCTTGGCGGCTCTTCCACCACTTAGGGTTCCCATCTGAAGGACTTGTTTGTTGTCGATCTTGGTGTTTCGTTTCTTCATCTTTCCTTCCTTCTCTCCCCTCTCCTTCCCTTGCTACCGTATATATCTAAATTTGGAGATCCTCCCTCTTTCGCTCCGAGGTCTGGTCTTCATTCCGTCTCCTCTCCTCTTGTTCCGGCATCCGAGACAGCTTCTCCTCCATCGCTTCTTGTCTCTTGTTACTACGACGTAAACCCCTCGAGAGCATCGCATCACATCACCATGCGTTGCAACTCCTTTATGGTGGCAGCCTCGTTGGCTAGCCTCGTAACCGCCAACGCATTTGCTCCTCCTGAGCCTACAGCGCCACCCACCGGCCCTCCAGTCAAAAGGCAGGAATCCGAAGTTACGGCCATTACCGGCTGCCATATGCACGGCTCTGATCTGTAAGGATTCCTCTTCTTCTTGTTCTTCTTCCTCCTCTCCTTCCTCTTGACCGAGGCAGCATCATCGTGTAAATAATATCTGTTACTGGATATACCATGCTGACATCGACTCAAAAAACACAGCTACTGTATCGCTGGAGACGACGAGTACCATGTCCAGACCACTCCGACGCAGACCACCTCGTACCCAGCTCAGTTCACCGACTGCCATTCACATGGAAGCGACATGTGGGTTTGCCTAAATGGCCAGATATTTGCGAGAAAGGATCTGATCTGACGACTACTGTATCCAGGTACTGCGTTGGCCCTGACGGCGAAGAGCTCGAGGTTGTCAACGAGGCTGATGCCACCAACAGCGAAACCACAGGCACCAGCGAAACCACAAGTACTAGCGAAGCCACAAGCACCAGCGAAGCTACAAGCACCAGCGAAGAGCAGGAGGAGTCATCGAGTAGCAGTAACCAGCACTGCCATTTCCATGCCGGAGTCGAGTAAGCGTTCCTTCACGAAAAAAAGAAAAGATGGGGAAAAGAAAGGACTCGAGTGGTCTATAGCTTCTAACAAATACCAGACATTGCGTTGGAGGAGATGAAGATGAGAGTGACAGCAGCAACTCCTGCAGCACGACCAAGAGGGACTACGATGTCCCCCTTCGCGTCGGCCTTCTGTTTGCCATCCTCGCCACGAGCGCCCTTGGTATGTCTACTTCGAACAAGCTATTCAAACGCCTCAGTCACTTCCTTGGAAGTAAATCTAACATGTCTCTCTGCCAGGCGTCTTCGGACCCATTCTGCTCCAGCGCTGGATGCCGTCCAAGCTAAACGTTGTGTTTGTGGTCCTCAAGCAGTTTGGTACCGGAATCATCCTCTCCACTGCCTTTGTCCACGTAAGCTTCATCTCCTTTGGTGTTCTGTGTGTTCTGCGTAGCATCCGACTGTTCAGAGACTTACAGACAACCCTAGCTCTACACCCACGCTACCCTCATGTTTGCCAACGAGTGCATCGGCGAGCTCGAATACGAGGGAACCGCATCCGCCATAGTTCTTGCGGGTCTCTTCCTGTCCTTTGTCGTCGAGTACATTGGTCACCGCGTTGTCAGCAACAAGATCAGGTCTGAGGCGTCCCTGACTCCACAGGGACGCGCCGAGTCTGCCCTGTCGAGTGAGGTTGTCGCCATTCTCGTCATGGAGATTGGTATCCTCTTTCACTCTCTGCGTAAGTCTTCGCCTTGTCAGACCCTCCACCTGGTTTCGGCATGCTCCCGTATGACTGCTGACTGACGTGTGTTATTGAAGTCATTGGATTGACCCTCGTTGTCGCGGGCGATAGCTTCTTCATCACCCTCTTCATCGTGATCCTCTTCCACCAAATGTTCGAAGGTATCGCACTGGGCAGCCGTATCGCCACGATTGGCGAGTCGAGCAACACCCTCGGCCACCTCGGCAACCACAGCCACCACGGCCCTGCCACCGGCACCAACGACGAGAGTTCGGAGTCCCCCGCTGTCAAGGCCCCCCAGACGACTGGCGAGACATCTTCCACCTCCTCCAACGGCATCGCCCCTGTTGGTTTTGGCATGAGACGCAAACTCACCCTCGCCTCAATGTTCGCATTCATCACTCCTATCGGCATGGGCATCGGCATCGGTGTCTTGGACCAGTTCAACGGCAACGACAAGTCTACCCTCATTGCCATCGGTACCCTAGACGCATTCTCAGCCGGTATCCTCGTATGGGTCGGCCTCGTCGAGATGTTGGCCGGCGACTGGATGATGGGCGCTCACGGACGCCCCGCGGAGCTGGCTGACGCGCCCCTGACGACTGTTCTTCTCGGTGGCTTCGGTCTCGTGTCCGGATTGGTGGTCATGAGTGTACTGGGCAAGTGGGCGTAAGGAAAGCAAGCCACGCACAAGCATTGACGTTTGTTTAAAGAAATAATATAGAGCGGAATATGGGACGGCTTAGTGATACCCTGGCACCGAGGGGTCCTCCGGTGGCAATGCATATTTTGAGAATGTCGGGATGGAATACAACCTGCAATTTTCCCGACCCAGCTTGCATCATCTCAGTTGGCGGCGTCACCTTGGAGGGCCCCAAGGCTAGGCATGCATGTACGCTGAAACGTCCAGGAATACTAAGGTCATTCATTGTAAATATTCTAGGGCCTAGTTCAACTTCAACCTTCTTCTGATGCCAGATGCCAGACCTCTACCTAGCTCTGATCAAGCAAGGCGGATGTGTGAAAACAACTTCTGGTCGATCCTGGCAAGGAATATTCATAGTATCTCAAGAGGAGTCGCCGCCCACCCGGCCAGATTGCCGGCCGGAACCGCTTGTACGATTACCTAGATCCATCAAAGGCATGAGGTACATATCATTTGGTGAGTTTCGGTTCCTTTTGTCTTTAAAAACATCGATATAAATGGACCCTTCCATCAAAGTCGAGACGTACAACACAGGCCTGAGACTTCTGCCCCCGGCGCGCAGACTTCGCTATCACACCGGGCTCCGAGATGCAGCCACCCCGCGAGGGCCGTCCCCATCCTGCTTGAGTCCTGACTGCTTGTTTATCTTCCGGCGGTAGCGGTAGTATCTTGCCGCCGGTCATGGCAGGCTACTTTACGGGATTGTTGTCGGACCCAAGTCTTTGGTCAATGGGTATCTGCGTTTCCGAGCTGCCGAGCTGGTAAACATGTTAAGCTGGAAAACTGTTAAGCTGGTAAAGATGCACTTACGCGGTGATGCTTCATGTCAATGGCTCGACCTGATCAGCTAGCACTTGCAATTCTCATCTGCCAGTACGTGCATCCGCTCTCCTGGATGCCGTCTTACGTAGTGGGATGTGTCTCCAAGATTTCAGAGTGCACAAGTACGGTTGGTGTATATGTAGGTAGGGTGAGAGATCATTGACGACGTCCAGTCGCCTATCTAAAATATTATATCGTATCATGAGCTTAACCACATAAGATTCTTTAAAGCCCAACGCCCAAGGCCACGGACGTACGTCAACGTGCTCTTGCATGCTCAGCGTCTGTCTCTTGTAGAGTCCCCCGACATCTGCGTCAACAGAAATGCTCGGCGTCCGTCGCCGTCTCGGTGTACATACGGTTCTCGGCAGTTTATCGGACTCTGGATGGTTACTGGATCCTTCAACGTCGGCGGGTGAACGATTGGTTCCTCGCTCATCTCTCCGGGTCTTCCAATGGGAACCATATTCGTCGACTATCCTGGCTGCGCAGGACCAATATCAAGCTCGTTACCAGCTGTTTGGTTCCTGGGGCTGTCTGGTCTCGGAAAGCCGTACATCATCCTGGATGATTACCTGCTTCCCATTCCCATGCCTGGAAAGCTGGCGGTGGACGATGTCGACTATTTTGGCACTTTTGATGAATTGCTCGTCTCCGAAGGGGGGTGGAGGGTCAGTTTCTGGATGGATCCGGTCTGAGGTTTGGCGAGAAGGTATAAAAATAGGGATTCCTGTTAGTCGACTTGGCAATGCAGGTTTGTATAGATGACAAGGATGGACGCTCGGTGCATCTGCATTCATGCCCTGTTTCGGAGGAGTTGGCGATGCTGTAGCACAACTTCTGACGGTGGCATTCGGCCAATGAGTGATGAGGTTACAGTCAGGCATATATCCATATATCCTGCATACAACGCTCTTCTTGTGATATTCCCGACACACCACTGCCGCTCCACGCGACGTAGTTCGAACCTGTACATGTCGTCATGAACGCCAAATGTAGTTCGCAGTGCTGTGGACTTTGGACACTGGAGCAGACCGCCGGTTCTTCCAATTCGCACTCCATCAAGTTACGACATGATACTCATGAAAACTGGCAGACTACAGTTGCTCGTAATGATGCTCGTACGGCAGGTTGATGTTGTCACGGAGATAATTACAGAGCTTCTCACGAGGAACCAGCTTCTCAGGATCGAGGGCTACTATCGTGTTCTTGAATGAGGCTGACGCTGATCAGACGGGGCGAGGATCGGGGGGGATAACGGTGCAAGACACGACTTACGAGGCCCTGGGCTCCGAGTTCTATATCCCGAAGCTTGTTATTTAACGTCTGAATGATTGTGAGCCAGCCTTAGCCATCGTACCGGAATCTCAGTGAGACATGGGAGATGTCAAGCTATTAGCGCGCTGGCGGGTGCTATTACGTGAATGATCAATGTCCTCTTTCGTTCTATATCGGTCTGTCTGTCTCTATTTCTCGTTCAACCAGTCAATCGCTCGTTGACTACAGGTGAATATAGTATCACTGTAGCGTAGTATTAGCATGGAGTCTCGGTAGTGGGAGACAATGGATTCAATACGTGCCCATCTGGGGGAGTTCGTCCCAGATTGCTGGACACAGTGGTCAGACAATGCACTTGCTTCCCCTCTTTTGAAATCCCCCCTCCCCTCCCCTTTCCCTCTTGGGAATCTTTGCCCTGTTGAGATGCGCGGACGCCGGACGGACTTGTCCCCTACATGCACAAAAGAGGGGGGGTGGCGATGCCCTTGTGGATGTGTCGTCTTTACCTGGGTCCCAATGTGTATGTGTGTGTGTGTGTGTCCTGCAGTGCCCACCATGAGCAAATGCCGCTCAGAAAGAAACAGCAGAGGACAGGCATATGGGAACTATTTGCCCCCAACCGCATAACGTCGTATTGTGTCAGTTTTGAATAACATGTCGTAGGTGGGATTATTGCCAGGCCCCCCCACTTGTAGACAATACTTGTAATATGCGGGCGGTGGCTGGGATGGGACCCCTGGGGACACGTGGATTCGACGAGCTATGGATGGTTGAGGGCTCGAAAGGTAATGCATGGTACGAGTACTGTTATGCAGGATGAGGGGGGCTGGAAAACATATGAGCCTGGAGTATGCCGTACGAATGATACTAGTAGATGCATGATGAATGGTCCATGGATAGATAGTGATGATACCTCGACAGAGAAGGAGGGGAGCCTGGTGATGGTACCTGGAGAGTACGAGTATTGCCATTGATTGCCACTCATATCGAGTGATGAGAGATCAGGTGTGATGGGGCTCCTCTTCTCTTTCCCTTCTCTTTCCCGGCTGTTCATCGTAATTTTCCATGCGGCGGGAGAAGGAAAATAAGATAAAGAAGGAGATGAATAATATCGCGTTACGGAGCATTTATTTAATATCATCCCCATAAGAATATTCTCTGGCTAGAATTCGGTACCATGGGACCTGTCGCCGGAGCGGCCCTTTAGGGTGCTTAGGCTCTTTACGACTACCAAAGGCCGGGTCTCCAAGACCACTAGCGTAGTGTCTGTAACGCTTCCCGGCGACTCGCCCGGGGCTGGTCGGTCTAGTCTATGAGTAATACCTGCCTGTACTATTATCTAATATGTACGCGTACGAGTACACGTAGTTAGTCATACACGGGCTTACAGTACGGGCAACGTATTACTATAGAGGGTTTGAAAACAGTGGCGGGAAGCCTGACAGTGGCAACTAGCAGGCCAACCACTAATGATCCATAAGATACCAGGGAGGGGGGGGGGGGGGGGGGGGGGGGGGGGGGGGGGGGGGGGGGGGGGGGGGGGGGGGGGGGGGGGGGGGGGGGGGGGGGGGACGCTAGACGCTCGGGGGAGGTTGCAGGGTCTCAGGGGGAGGCTCCATAAGTAAAGCTAGGGTTGGATAGTAGGCTAGCGGGGGGGGGAGGCGCTAATGCTTGGGAACGGGGCAGGTGCGCTTGTGCAAGGAACCTGCAGAAGACGATAGCGATAGAAAACAAAGAGAAAAGGGGGCAAATGGAGCGGGGAAGGAAGGAAGAAGAGGAGAGGGAGAAAAAGATATGAAGAAAAGAGGGAGAGAAACGGATTAGAAATGGAATAGTGAGGATAACGGCATTGTCGGATGGTGGGTGTAGCCGAGACTGGAAGTGTCTGGAATGGCATTCAAGGCGGTAGGCTTCCCGAGACAATGGATTAGCAGATACTGTTAGACGAATGCAGCGAGTACCTCGTACCGCAGAATAATATAACACTCTTGGTCGTAAGAGTACGAGTAATATTACCAACAACACACAATCAATTATTACCGTCAAGTATTGTTATTGCTGAGTACGATTATTATTATCGTACAAGTGCTCGTACGAGTAAGTAACAACTACTGGATTTCCCCCAATAGGTTTTTTTTTCCTGACCTTCACACTCTGTTGGTACGTTGCGCACACTGAAACGAGTGGCTGTACAAGGTAGGGGGCGGGAGGATACTACGGGGATACTACGCCGGCCTGATCAGAGTGGCTGCTATGAGCGTTTTTTCCCCCTCTTAGAGGGCCCTTTTTGGTCTTTCCACTCTTGGGTCTCTCTTTCTGTCCCTCCCTCTCTCTCTCTCTCTCTCTACGAGGCTGTGCTGACCTGCAGATACCACATACCACATGTGCGTGGTAATAGCTGCTCCGTACAAGTACATGCGTCTAGTAGCTAGATAATGCAGGTCAGTTATAACTTATCTGGTGAATATGAAGACCCTGCACTCCGTACTCCGTAATATATTGTCTTCCTACTCCCAGTAGCACAAGATACATTCAACCGAGGAGAAATCTTGTACAATGTACTCGTATGACAATTACATCGTACTTGCCGTCAATGGGCCCCCGTCGTACCTTGCCTGTCATCCTGTCCTAATAAATTGACCACCGCTGCAAGTACGACGTTTGTTCCTTCCCCGACAAAAACCAATACCTCATTCGTACCTTGTACTTCCGTCCTTCTGCCCCCC